AGCAATAGCTAATAGCAATTTTAAATATTGTATGAAAGAGACATAATACACTCATACCTCGTCTCCATGGACAAAAGGAGGGGGACGTCTGTCTGATATTGGTAACTGTCTGTAGCTAGTGAGCAAATGTAAACTATGTCTAGAAAAACCGCAACAGCCAAACAAATGCTGGGGTTGGTTCTGCAATGTCCTGTACAGGATATCAACTAACTGTAGCAAGTGAAATGGCACCCGTAATGGTTAATATCAACAGTTATATGATAAAAAGAAGAGCAATAATACTTTAAAACAAGTACAACATCACTTGTGAGAATGTAAAATACTTGTGTACAATAAATAAAGGAATTCAAAATTAGATCAACTGTGGGTGGTGAAGTGTTATTCTTGATATGCCATGTTCACATAACGGGCATATTCCATAATTTAAACTTTCTTAGCAGAGGCTTTTGTTTAGTGTTGCCACACCTCCATCCACAAAGTGTGTGATTTTAGAACTGAAAATTACTAAATTAGCTCTTCCAGACTTGGTCTATTGTTTCTTATATATATTTGCTAGGGTGCATAAGACTGAGGTATGAGTGTATTTTAGCTCCACCCTGTTTATTTAGGAGAAGTCTGTACAACCTGATTTGCAAACTTTCAGATGCATGCCTAACCCAGGTGATATTCTTAATAATGGAAAACAGCTTATAACATTTGATTATGCAAGCTTTTCTTTGTTTTCAATTTGTGATTACTACCAATCAAGCTTGAAAAAAACAGTAATTTTCTATTTATAGTATTCTCATGACAAAGATTCAGTTTATGATATTAACACACTTTCAAAAACTTAAATAAGCACAAAGTTTGAAAATAAAAGTGCCTTACATTTAGGATACACATAATGGAGTGTAACTAATAACTACACTAGAATGCATCAGTAAACTAAAGAAACTGCAGCCACCATGTAACTGCTATGTAACCATACAGACATTCCGTAACCTTAGAAACTATATGTTGATAGATCAGTTATTATTACTGAGTAGTTCAAAAAAAAATTACTAAAATTATACACAAATTTAAGAAAGCCATATTTATAGTACTTAACAAAATATGTGTTTTTAGCAAACCACTATTACCGAGTTTATACCATTGCTGATAGCTAATAAGAGAAGCTTTGCTATCTAATAAATATATCTTAATTTAGATTTATGATAACTAGCAATGTTAACATATTTTTTAAATTACCACTCTGAACAGTTTTTGAAAATATGTTGTAAGTCTCTAGTATTCTGTTTTAAACTGACTGAAAAAATATGTAACATTTTTTTGTAATGAATGGAAAGACAATGAAATAAAGCAGTCTTTAATCAAGGGAAGAAAGTATGAGAGGTATGAACTGAAAGACAGTGAAACATACAGTTAACTCAATGGTCACAAACCTTTAACTAAAATAATTTCAAATGTACTTGTGTTTTCAGAAGTCAGTAATCATATACTTTCATGCAGTGTTTTCAGAAGTCAGTAATCATATACTTTCATGCAGTATTTTAACTTTCTCAAGTACAGGTCACTTTAATTTCTCTACTTAAGTTTTGTAATTACAGATACACAATATACACTTAATTTTATCATCAAATCATTCAGTCAAGCAACCTCAGATTCTGTGGCTTTCAGTGGTCTGTAATAAAATATTTAATTCTTAGGTCAGAATGCCATTGTTCTCACATAAACACTTATTTCTTTAGGGCCTTAGTGTTCACATGTCACTCCTGTTGAGCTGTATGCTCTTGCAGTTGATATTTTTAACAAATTTTTGTTCAGATGTGTAGATACTATTAATATATTTTCATACTATTAATATTATATTATTTACAATATGTATTTATAATTGTGTATTTGTTTGTTGATGTGTTTTTCTAGTCAAGCATTGGTTCTGTTCGACATTTTATTCCCAGAAGCTTCTGCAACCCCAGTACCCCAATGAACCATTGTAGTGTTCTTTTTTAGGAAGTCAAACAAGGTATCCTAGATTTGCCCTGTTGGACTGGCTCATAGGATAAGACTGTTTTAGTCGCTGAATCCGATTCCGATTTGTTTGAAAAAAAATTAATTTTCATGTCACCCTAACCAGCTCCAATATTGAGCGGCGGTTATAGTTTTAGTCGCAAAAGGTTTCAAACCTTTATGTGGCCGCTTGGGGGAAAGGGGGGGGGGGGACCAGTCAGTCAGTCAATAACCACTATGAAAATAGCTTCAATGTTAAACATCCAAAGAGGCAACTTACACTGTGCTACATAATAAAATAAATAAAAAAACTATTACATCCTTTAAAACGGTACTGTTTCTTGTAAACAATTTATTTCACATAAATATATATATGTCCACATAACTGTCTGGATTTTGCATTAATTGTAAGTAGGTAAAATGCAGAAGACCTAGAACAGCTATTAGACATTGTGGTACTAGAAAGTGAAAAGGGAAATTTCCTTAAATGTCAAGTAAATAGAAACAATGTTTATATTAAAGAAGAGGATAACTCCAAAATTTGACATAGCAATAGAAGGAAAAATGCTTAATGAAGTCAATAAATTCAAGTATTTGAAGACATTTAAATCAGATGGACGATGTGTGACATAAATTAAGAGCAGAATTGGCCAGGCAAAGGCAGCATTTCAGAAGTATCTTATGTACTCAAGGAACTTGATAATGATGATGAGGTAAAAATAACCCCTCTTCACCCATTCAGTCATACAGTATATATGGTGCTGTCCTCCTAATCTGGATAAATTAACTTTTGATTTATGTTTGTATATTATAATTATTTACAATATATGACTCTTAGTGTTGTATTTTCTGACATGCCATCCTTTTAATCCATAAATGATGTTATGGGTTGATGATGATGATGTTACAAAAAAAGATAGGAGTGCTTATGTGAATGCCTGAGTACTTGATGTCGGTTTGTGAATCAACTCAACTCAACTCTTAAATGCATTCATGCATTGTATTTTCTGTGAACAACATACAGAAAAGCTATTCAGTTAAGTTAGTTCATTAGGGGCCAGAATGTAGAAAATGGTGACCATCACAGCCACAGAGGCTGAAAACAACATAGAACATAGATCTGACACTTCGTGACAAGCTCTGAAGCTAATTTTTCTAGAATACATTATATATTTTGTTTTCAGTTGACACATCTGTATGTCCTTGCTTTCTGGGGTGATGTTTTAAACAAATGTTGTGTGACATACTAGCTTCTTGTAGTCCCAAGTTAAACAAATGTGGTGTGACATAGTCGCTTCTTGTAGTCCCAAGTTAAACAAATGTGGTGTGACATAGTAGCATCTTTTAGTCCCAAGTATTATATGGTAGACAGCTTGTTTTGATGTTTTATTATCTCTGAAATGGCACGGTTTGACCTTTTTTGTTATTTTTTTATATTTAACCAAAGTAAACAAAATATTTTCTCTTCCATTTTTCAAAGCAGACAAAAGTGGCAATATTTAAAACTGCCAGAAATGTTTGACAAAACAAATATAAGATTCTGGAAGAGATGAGGAATTGGCGTTTTCTTTAAACTGTGTGTGTTTCTGTCTGAAATATGTCATATTTGTGTATTCAGTTGTGTTTAAACAAATGTATTCAATGAGTGTTTCATTGACAAGACAGTGATTACCGTTCAATCTTCAAAAGTACACAAATTTGTTTCTTCAACCTATACAGTCAGGAGCGCTGGCCAAGTGGCCAGAATGCAGGACTCTTATACAAGAGACCCAGGTTTGAATCTTCATTATAACAATAAAAATGAAATGTAGTCACTCCAAAGTAATCCTTGGGTGATACATACTGCCAGCCTCCCTCCACTTTCATCCTCTTAAGACTTTACAATTAATTTCTCAATTTTCATAAAAAAAATTTGGAAGCAATTATATATTTGATAGTCCTTTACCCAGTTTAACTTTGGAAACTGGGTATGTTCTCACAAAATGTTTACATCTTAACCCTTATGACTGTTTTTAAAAAAAAAAGTCAATAAGAATTGGAAATTTCCCCAAAAATCCCTTAAAAACAACTATTTTACAAACAGATAAAAAAATAAATTGTTGAAAAGTTTGTCTACCTTCAATTTTTAAATTTTTTTTTTTTTTTTGAAATTTAAAGAGGATAATCCATAAACAAGAACAGAGTGAAGCATGAAATGGAATGTATTCCTCTGGGTCTAAAACAAATATGTACCAGGTGACTCGTGCAGTAACCCTGTGACCCCTATCACTGCAGCTGAAGAGAATCTTAAGTCAACCTGACTTTAAACATGCTGCTGGATTTTCAAGGAAACCCTCTAGATGCTATATTTAGTTAATATATTTACATCTGGACCTCCTAAACACTATGCAGGTGCATACAGAACCAATGGCATTTAACTACACTTTTCAAGAATAGGTCCCAAAGGAAATGGTAATACATCACCATTTACAGGCTGTGTCACAACCGTATAATGTGATAAGATTTAGATAGAATCCACAATAATTAAAAAAAAAAAAAAGTGTATCTATTTCAAAATCATTCACAAAATCTTTGATTCGGCGTTACTGCCAGGTAGTGCCCATTTAGTTGTAGTTCATATATCAACAATAAGTTCTTTTTATCAGAGCAACAGGTGAACATTTTCACTCCTAAAGTCCTAAGTGGATGCACCATCAACTTTTTTTTAATTCAAATAAATTATTAGTTTAACTAGTCAATGTTTGGTCTGAAGTAAGTACAGTTATAGCACAATAGGAAAATAAACTGATACAAAGCAACATCTAAGGCAGAGTGGGTTAATGTTACAACTGGATCATTACCAATATATTAAAAATAATATATTCCACTTCTTTTGTGATCAAAGGTTAAAACTACAGTGGACCATAAATAAGATGTCAGCTCAAGGTCTGTTAGGTTTCCATAAAGCTTTCTCATCAGATCTGTTGGGTTCATGTCTACAGGGTTACTACTACTAGATAACCCAGCTCATTATTTTATGAACGCTGAAGACTATAATCTTCATTTGAGACATAACTAAGGGAGGGAATAAAATACTTCTGTGAGGACTTCAGCGTTATCAGGATTGGTTGATTGAAGTTTGAGTCTGACTCTTCAGCAGCTGCTGAGAAGGGATTCAGGTAGACAGTTTTCATAGGCAGGTTGATGCAGGAGACAAAGCTGCACAGGTCTCCGGGTGCTGGATGTCTTCCTCTCATTGTTACTGGAGGCAAGTGGAAGTCTGTAGACATAAATAATAACATATATAAACCATTGTGTGCATCACGTGGATAAGTAATGTCTGTTCTTCAACAGTATCATCTCTGCAAATGAAGAGAATTATTAAAAATTTTCTCTTTCAAAATATCAGACATTTGTTGTAAAGATCCCAAATAAAATGAAAATTAAACTGACATATCAACACTCTATAAGATATACATGAACATATTTAGCACAGTACAGTTATATTTTAACTTAATCAAAAAATTTTAAACAATGGTGGTGATGGTGGCAAACTGTGAGCAGCACCAACTATGTCCTCAGTACCAGGGTCTGAATCCTGTCTGTGTCTTCATGAGTATGCGTTGGCTAACCTGTCTCTCAGCCATAAGTAGATAGAGAGGAGGGAAAGGATACAAAACGAGGCTATGCACATAATCCTTTGTAAAAAAAAAAAAAATACAGTGTGCAAGGCAAAGTACTAACTTTTTAATTTTCCAACCATAGACAACAGGTTACATATTTGTCAAGCATGTGCCTGGACTTTCTCTCAGGCATGCTTTTTTCAGTGACTCAGTAAATATACTCAGGAAAATAAATAAGGGCTGGGTCTGAATACAGTGGTTGGAGTCTCAGAAGTTATTATCTGCTTAGGTCCATGCAAGTAACATGCAGCACTAGTTCCAGTTTCTGCTCTAAATTCCTTCCTGCTAAGTAAGAATTACAATGACACACACAAAAAGCTGGCAATTTAGCAAATATAGCATGGAAAGTATCAGTTATAAAAAGACAAATATACTGAAGACATCGGATCAAGAGGATGTCACAGACGATGTCACAGACAATGTCACAGACGATGTCACAGACAATGTCACACTAGGGTCAAAAAGAATTAAAGCAGTACACTAGTTTAAGTATAAAGCGCTTCTTTTTATGTTGATATAACTTTGTAGTAGTGTACCCATTGGCTCGCCGGTAGACAACTTCATTGCCAGTTGAGACAGCATTTGAGTCTGTGTGCTTTAATCATATCAACACTGCAGAAGTCCTTTTCAGGGTTCTTCCTGGCATGCAATGCTGAGCTATTTTATATGGCACACATAACCTAGTCCCAATTATAACCTAAAGCTCCCCTTTAGCAAAGCTGGTTGAACATGACAAAATGTGTTCCCAGCAAAGCACCTACCCTTACAGTGCCAAAAAATAAAGAGAGAGAAGACAGGGAAACAAACTAAGAGAAATACCTGTATGTAGACAGGTTTCTCTCTCAGGTCTGCACTGGCTTGTGTGCATCTCACCAAGTCTAACCAGGGCAGGTTTTCTGAAGCAAAAATCAAAAACATATGTCTATCCTCATGGCACATGATGATGATGAAGTGTAAAAAAAAAAAGAATGGTGTCGAAGCTTGTTAAAAAAAAAAAAAAATCTGGATTCAATACCTAATAGAATCAGGTTCACTTTCTCTCACTAGTGTAGTGTGACTCTGGCATTGACTTACCTTTACAGAAATTAGTACTAGACAAATTTCAGAATTCCTTGGAAAGGACAAACAAAAATGATAAGGAAGGAAACTCATCACCCCTATCTCATTTTTTGTGATCTTTAATATAAAACACTCCAACACTTCATTGTTCATTTTTTTTCACCTTTAATCTTGTTTTTCAATAGATTTTTTGAAGTCTATTTGCCACTGTCTTAATGTCCTTCCATCTTACTTTTCTTTATGGTGAAGTGGTTGAGCATTTTGTTTCATGCTCCGAAAGTTGTGGCTTGAACTCAGTCATCTGGTTTACAAGTGCAGGTTTTAGTAGATCTCTGGGGGTTATCAATGGAGCTGTAGAGTTTATGCTTTGTGTGACACTTCTGGAAAGTGACTAACTGCTTTAGAGAAAATGAAGAAACTTCAGAGAGAAAGAAGAAACCATATCAGATACAATGTAGTGTAATTGAGTTGACTTTATTGCTTTCAAGCTGTTTTTCTTTTAAACTGACCCTAGCATCTAGGTCAACTGAGCTGAAAATGGGTACCAGATAATGTCCTGAGTGGTAAAGGCAGTCAATGTGATGTTACCCACATCATTCATCAAGTGATGATTGGTCTATACAAAATATAGGTCTAGCACTATATGCCCAATGTCATTTATAGTCCTCTACTTAAACACTTTCATACTTCCAGCCTTCATTTTTTCCAGTATATTTTTAATGCTACTCTTGATTTTAACAGACACAGAACAGAACAGGACATGCCAAAACATTATTTTATAAAATAAAGAACATATTTTGCAATAAATCCATGCTATACAGAGCCAGTTTTAACATATGGCTGTGAATCTTGGACAGCCAAACAATTTCTTGAGGCCTTGGAGATGTTGTTTTAGAGAATAATCCTTAGAATTAACCGGACAGCTAAAAAGAGTAACCTAGATTTCTCTATCATTTATAAACAGATATTTTTTTTTTAATGTTACGGCAAAAAAAATTAGAACAGCATTGACATATATACTTTATTCTTTTATAGATATATTAATGAAAAGCTTCATCTTACTTCAATATTCTAGGCAACACTAGCACTGTATTCTGAAACTCTGCTTTCCCATCTTCCTGCTTTCTTTTGAGTGTCTGTCCTTTTTTCAGTGCTTCTAGTTCTTTTTCTGTCATCATTTCACAGAAGTATGTGACAGCATCAAGATAGCTAACAGATTGCAGTACAGACATTCCGTGAAGACTGTCAATCATGACTGAAAATGTGGAAAGCATCAATTAGGATAGGTTACTGATGATGTTCATGTAAAGCACATTATCTCTGTTCAAACATTTACAGTTTAACAAATACTGTTAGCAATTTCGGTTATACACATCATCATCATCATCATGTAACAGGTCCTTTGCATAACAATGTTCTCATCATAGACTGCCTGAAAGAAACCTGGTCTCTCGCCAGCTCTCCCACTTTGTGTACTTGCATACTCAAGAAGTCACTTATATCCTGTGCCCATCTACATGCTAGTCGGCCCCAGCCCCTCCTTCCTGGTATGATACAATTATCAATAACATTTTGTGACATTTAAGGACTACTGAGGGTTACTGTCATACAATGACCATTAACATTTACTGTCATGCAATGATCATAAGCATTTACTGTGGTACAAAGATCATTGACATTTACTATCATAAAATGATCACTGACATTTACTATCATACAAGGAGCATTGACATATATTGTCATACAACAATCATTAAAATTTAATGTCACAAAATGACTATTAACATTTACTGGTACAAAATGATTCCTGACATTTACTGTCATTCAGTGATATTTAATAGTTACTGTCAAACAATACTGTCAAACAACTGTCATTAATATTTACTAGGATTCTACACGTCATGCAAACACCGACACAGTTTCATGCACATATTATTAACATTTACTGTTATAAGACATTTTAAAAAAAAAATACTGACAACCTTTACGATGACAGCCATGAGTTTCAATCAAAGTTTCATACCCAAAAAAAAAAAAAAAGAATCTTTCAACAGTGATTTGTCTAGAAACTTCATCATATGAAAGTCTCTGTGGCTATGTCTAGAAACTTCACCATCATCATGGGGAAGTCTCTCTGGCTATGTCTAGAAACTTCATCATCCTCATGGGGGAGTCTCTGTGGCTATGTCTAGAAACTTCATCATCCTCATGGGGAAGTCTCTGTGGCTTATCTAGAAACTTCATCATCATGGGTAAGTCTCTGTGGCTTGACTAGAAACTTCATCATCCTGGGTAAGTCTCCGTGGCTTGTCTAGAAACTTCATCATCCTGGGGAAGTCTCTGTGGCTTGTCTAGAAATGTTATCATCATCCTGGGGAAGTCTCTGTGGCTTGTCTAGAAACTTCATCCTCCTGGGGAAGTCTCTGTGGCTTGTCTACAAACTTTAGCATCATTGTGGCGAAGTCTCTATGGCCTGTCTACAAACTTTAATATCATCCTGGGGAAGTCTCTGTGGCTTGTCTACAAACTTTAGCATCATCCTGGGGAAGTCTCTGTGGCTTGTCTACAAACTTTAGCATCATCCTGGGGAAGTCTCTGTGGCTTGTCTACAAACTTTAGTATCATCCTGGAGAAATCTCTGTGGCTTATCTAGAAACTTCATCATCATCCTGGGGAAGTCTCTGTGGCTTGTCTACAAACTTTAGCATCATCCTGGGGAAGTCTCTGTGGCTTGTCTACAAACTTTAGCATCATCCTGGGGAAGTCTCTGTGGCTTGTCTACAAACTTTAGTATCATCCTGGAGAAATCTCTGTGGCTTATCTAGAAACTTCATCATCATCCTGGGGAAGTCTCTGTGGCTTGTCTACAAACTTCATCATCCTCCTGGGGAAGTCTCTGTGGCTTGTCTACAAACTTTAGCATCATCCTGGGGAAGTCTCTGTAGCTTGTCTACAAACTTTAGCATCATCCTGGGGAAGTCTCTGTGGCTTGTCTACAAACTTCATCATAATCATGGGGGCTTCTCAGTGGCTATGTGATTAAACTGGTCGCTCCACCCTCAAAAGGTCATGGGCTTATTTCATAGATTCTGTTTACAAGTGCAATTTTGTATGGAGATTGTGGAGGAATCATTGCTGGATCTACACTTTTGCATGACACTTTTGGCTAGAATTGCCATAATTCCTCCATTCTAAGGATTAATGAAAATTGCCACTTAAGTGATGTGATTATCTATACAGATTGATCTGTACTGAGTGGCAGATGAAGCAAAGGCAAAAGCAAATGGACGTCGCTTAGTGCAACAAAGTCTGGCATATGATATCAGAAAATCTAGTTTGAGAATGGAGGCGGAAGCAGTCACAGCTGCCTTCCACTGGCTTGAGAATCAGCTGTACACACACGCTGTGATTGTCACTGACTCACAGAGCATGTTAAGAAAGGTAGAGACAGACATGCTCCATGCAGAGTGCTAAGCATCACTTCTGAGGTCCCAGGTAATTAGTGTCCTTGGGATATTTTCTCCAAGTCATGCCGAATTTGTGGAAAAATGACAGCAGGCAGATAGAGTGGTTGGTTCTGGTGGTGAACTGATGTATGCCAAGGTAGATTTTGTCAGTGCCCTTTGGGAGTGAATGAACAGTGCAAAGGCACAAACAGATTATTACAGTCTGAGGATAATGGCGCTGCAGGGAGTTCACAGGGGATCTGGCCGACACTCAACACTCAAGGGAAGGGTGAGATGGAAATGCATTCAGGAAGTTACTGGTACCATTGGAATTGGAGCTCTTCGCCTGCTGCTGAATATGGGGACAGAGCACCTATGGAGTGATGTGATGTCGATTCTTAATTCAATATTCAACATCTATAGAAAGTGATAAGACGGGCCTCTTAATAACTGGAACAGAGTAGTAATGATGATTTCCAAGAAAAAAAATAGTCTTAATATATAATAAAAGTTAATGGCATTGTTTTAGGACAAGTACTAAAATTTAAGTATCTAGGCACATGGATAATATCCAACGGAAGATGTATCACAGAGATAAAGAACAGAATAGGACATGCCAAAAATCCATTTTATAAAATGAAGAAAATTTTATGCAGTAAATCCATGTCATTGGAAGTTAGGAAAAGAATTCCTGCATGCTAAATAGATCAACTTTTAACATATGGCTGTGAATCCTGGACAGTTAGTAAACAAGCCAAACAATATCTTGAGGCCTTAGAGATGTAGCTTTATAGAAGAATCCTTAGAAATCATTGGACTGCTAGGAAGAGCAACGCAGACGTTTTGAGCGAAGCGGGGGCATGAAGACAATTTATAACAAACATCAGAAAGAGACAGTCTTCTGTTTTGGTCACGTTATGAGAAGAGGGAAACTAAAACATGTTGTGATCACTGGAAAGATCTGTGGAAAGAGAGACGGAGAAAGACAGTGTGAGAAGATTCTTGACAGCCTTTTGTCACGGCATGGGGATATGTCAACACACTAACTGATACAGGCAGTTGCAGATCGCAGATTGTGGAGAGGTATGATCGCACACATCAGCTGGCAAGGCACTTGTGGATGATCTAAGCATCCACAAAATGGTGGACGTTTGGCAACCCTACTCATAGCAGGCAGTTAGCTTATAAGACTAACACATCATGGTTAAAATTTGGTGCAATAAAGCTGATTATCTAAACATTAAACTTTAAAACTCCATCATAATAGTCATTACATAGTCATAAGAGACAAAACTCTCTACAGAAACAAAATTTAGAACCATCCAGTTTCTCCCTCAGCTGCTGCATACACAAAACAACAAGTAAAAACAAGTGACAAAATGAAAGTTTTGCCAGTAGAGAGCCTTCGCCAGTATGCAACAACATGGACAATAAAACATCTACACAAAAACTTATTGGTTGTTCAAAGACTAATGTCATAATGGTTGTGAAATCATGTAAAATCAGATGTAAATAAAGCACATGTTTATTAGATTTATCCACAGTTAGATAGATAACATTGTTAAGTAGACTTGTTTCAGTCATTTATAAACTATGATGAGGGGTAACTCTAATGTGTACCTCATGTGAAGGGTACAAAGATAGCAAAGTCAGCTCATACAGATAGAATAAATATTTTTGAAAAGGCGATTTTCTTCTGTGTCTGTTACTTCCTTTAGTATTCAGGAATTTAGGAACACAGCTACAAAATTACAGACAAACTGAGTGTTACATAAACTTAATTTTGTGTGAAGATACTAATTGTTTTGGGAAGTCAGTTCTCTTTACCAAATAATGATGCTCTGTTATCAGTTCTCGTTATGCCTAGTGGCACATGAGGCTTCAGAGAGGACTTTCCATGCTTTCCTGTCCTGTGCAATCTTCAACGCAGTTTTCCATGTCAAAGATGCCTGTTGTGTGCTATCTGAGTTACACACTAATCAGCACACTACCAAGTGTCTAAAGATATTACTTTCACTTCCTCACTATCGAAGCAGGACTCGACAACAGTAGTTCCGTCACATAGCATATTTATTTGACAGAACAAAAGAGGGTATACACAAGCCCTCACATTAACAAAACTACAGAGACGTAGACATTGATCCCAATTGACATTCGCACATAGTCCATTTAGTTCTCACTCACTCTCTCTCAACTTGAAGCGACCTCTCCTTGAACACTACAGCTCCATAGGTCTACAGCTTCCCACAATGCTGGGCTTGCCTTACAGCTGAACAGGTTGAATTCTCCCATCTACTGGAGCTTGATATTATTTCAACAGACAACCACGGCTGACTGGAGACGGACTTCACTTGCCGTTCTCCAAAAGCACACAGCACAGCAGCCTGTCGAAGGACTCCGATGACTGAAAGGACTTCTAACAAAAGTCTCCTCCAGCACACAGCTCTCGTCGGCATCACCCCCCTGTTCTGTTTCCATAGTGACCCTACGTCTCCTCGCGTATTCACCCAGAACAGGTACTATTGGAGCATCCCGTCCCCTTGGATTTCACCAGCGGGACTATACCTTCGACCAGTACCGCAACCTCAACCCTTACTCAGGCCTTGATGCCTGATATTTGTACGGTACTCTTGTCTGTTATACTTGAGAGAGATAATCACTGCCCCTGACTTGGTCTCTCTCTGTCTCTCTCTCTGACTCTTGACTCTGACTGCCTCGGACTGACTACTCAGCCGCAATTTATCCTTGTCGAACTCGTAGGTTACACAAGAGGCACGCTCATGTGGGTGTTCTCAGAAAACATGCTCATGTGGGTGTTTTTGAGACTCACGATCAAGGGAGCGTTTTCGAGGATCACACTTATGTGAGTGGCTGATGTTACATGAGAATCACGATGTCACGTAATACACCCTTCCTCTGTGGGTCTCGTTATCCATGCTTGTCAAACCCCCCACACAGTCAACCCACGCGTCTACTTTCTCGTGTGTGCACGCCTCGTTCATGATAAATACATTTTCACTGGTCAACACTCTCTCCCCCTCAATACTCGGCCAATGTTGACATTAGTTCCCTGTGAACTCACAGAAAGTTCTATCATACCTAACAATCCCTGGTCACTTTGATGTACGATATGTGTATGTTGCACGGCAGCTGAATTCGTATAGTATGTTTTAATGTGTTACATTTTTACATTTACATTTTTAAAAATTGCATTACCACCCCTTGGGCCTCTGATGCTAAACCCCCTCTGACTCAAACAGTTAAGAATAAAAGTATATATTATAGATTATAATGTCACCTGTCACACTGCCTTGTGTTAATGATGACTTCTGTCTATCTCTGGTCCCATCTGAAAATGTTGGAGGGCAAGTCTTTACTGTATTTTGTGACGATGCAGAAAGCTCTCTCTCCGCTGGCTTAGCTTGTTTCTTTGGACAGAAATAACTAATTATTTTAATATAAAACAAGTTGGTTGCTGAAATAAATACCTATTTTATCTGCTAAAAAAAAGTTAACTCTTTCAAATAAAAAACAAAAAGTTAGCTGAGTATCATCTTCAAGGATGTCTCGAACCAACTTCCAGCATTTGTTGGCTGTTTGTGTTTAAATATGCAGTTTTGGTTCAGGAGTTTGCCATCATCTCTGAATGTCCCAAACTCATACTTTTGACAAAATCAACACAAAGTTATCTGTGGTCAGATCACTTGCAGCTAAACCAAACCTGGTGTGTTGAAATTATGAGTCTGCATGCATAACCCTTACATAACAGACCCAAGAAGTTTTGAGTTTAAAATATTTTTTTTTTAGTTTAAAGAAGTAACAGATGGCGAATAAATGCATAGCCATAAGCAGACTCAACTGCTTTTGTGACTATTCAATGGGAAAAGATAAATTCAGCCATACTTGGTTGATAAGAAGTAAAGGGAATGTCAACTACTGTTTATAATGAGGGGCAGCTGCAAGGTCTCGAGGCATGGCATCTGCCTTGAGTGCTGGAGCTCCCGGGTTCAAGCCCCGGTGAAGGCTGGGATTTTGTTCATATGGACTTCTAGTAATTTCTCCTAGTCTCTGGGTAGTAAGATCGGATGGGCGTGTGTATTTCTGCATATGTGAAAAAAAACCTTGGCAGTTGGAAATTGAAAAAGTGTTGCCTAAAGACGCTGTCCGGGCAAAATTGGAGTTTAAAAAATATTCCCAAAGTACTTCAGGAGACTCGCCAATGCTACTGAGTTTGTGCAATGTGCTGAGATTCTTTGGTCTCAGACTTGAGTCAGAAGTAGAATGGAGGACTTATAGGTGACTGCCCTTGTGTTATGATGTTGATCCATCGTCTAAACATAAACCTGTTTATAATGAGAAAATTCACAAGATGAGTTGACTTAATCATTCTGTCAGATGCATGCCTTATTTTACTACAAGATGAACACCTTATCACACCATAGGAGGAACACCATAAGACACTTGAAGATCAACCCCTTATCACACTACAAGTTAATTACCTTACCATACTACAGTATGAACACCTTATCATACTATAAGATGAGCACATTATCATACTACAAGATGAAACCTTATCATACTACCAGAAGAACACCATATAAAACTATAAGATAAATAAATTATTATACTACCAGAGGAAAACTTTATCATACTACAAGATGAACTCCTGATCATATTACGAGAGGAACACCTTTTATCACACTCTAAGAGGAACACCTTATCAGTAGCACCTTAGCATATTAAAAGAGGAACACCTTATCATACTACCAGAGGAACACCTTATCATACTACCAGAGGAACACCTTATCATACTACCAGAGGAACACCTTATCATACTACCAGAGGAACATCCGTTATCACATTATGAAAGGAACACCTTATCATACTTCAAGATGAACAGCGTATCACACTACAAGAGGAATAACTTATCATACTTCAAGAGGAACAGCGTATCACACTACAAGAGGAATAACTTATCATATTATAAGGGAAACACCTTGTCATACTAAAAGAGGAACACCTTATCATACTAAAAGAGGAACACCTTATCATATTACAAGATTAGCATTATATCAAATTACAAGATGAACAACATATCACACTACAAGGGGAATAACTAATAACTTACCATACTGTAAGGGGATCACCATATTATACTGCAAGATGAACATCTTATCACACTACAATATGAACACCTTATTACACTATAAGATAAACACCATATGACACTTCAAAATTAAGACCTTATCACACTACAATATGAACAACTTATTACACTATAAGATGAACACCATATGACACTTCAAAATTAAGACCTTATCACACTACAATATGAACAACTTATTACACTATAAGATAAACACCATATGACACTTCAAAATTAAGACCTTATTGCACTACAAAATTAACACCTTATCATACTACAAGTAGAAAACGTTGTCACACTACAAGTATAACACCTAAACATACTACAAGAGAAAACACCTAATCAGACTAAAAGATCAACACTATATCAAACTAAAAGAGGAACACCTTATCACTGTACAACATAAATAGAACAACCTATCATGCTATAAGACAAACACCTTATTGCACTAAAAGATGAACACCTTATCATACTTCAAGATAAACAACTTATCATACTATAAGATTAGCATCCTATCAAACTACAAGATAAACAGTGTATCACAGTACAAGAGTAATACATTATCATACTATAAGGGGAAAACCTTATCACACTACAAGATGAATACCTTATCACGCTATAAGAGGAACACATTATCACACAATAAGATGAAAATCTTATCACACTATAAGATGAACATCTTATGAAACTATATGAGGAACACCTTATCCTCCTACAAGATGAATACCTTATCCTACCACAAGATGAACACATTATCCTACTACAAGATGAACACATTATCCTACTACATGATGAACACATCATATTATAAGATGAACACTGACTATTAGATAAACACTTTTTCACACAACATGATATACCTTAGCACTCTGTAAAATACATACCTGCTCAAACCCCTGATCACTACCTCATGACAGTAACACAATAATTAATTACCCTGCTAAATCCTCCACTGGCAGACTTCACACTGGAGATACGGCCATGTAAGGAATGGCCTTGCTTTAGTAAGTCCATGCTATCTTGAATTCTGAGTCTATACGACATCATCCACCTGCACACATAAAGTACAGCTTTAGTAAAGAGAGTTGTCAATTTGAAAGCATTATTTCCCAATTTTAAAAAACAATGTAAAGGATAATTTTCCCACGATGGTGAATCACATGTATGATGAAAGACCCATCTTAGCAAATAATACACATAGACTGCTTCTTCTTCTTCTTCTTCTTCTCTTCCACCTTGTACCTCAGCGAAGTTTTGGGGGGAGATGTAACATTCTTTGATGAGCTCTGTCAAGAGCACTATAAATACTGATGTTCATTTCTGTAAGGCTGTTCTTAATGCCATCACTCCATATTTTCTGAGGTCTTCCACTCCCTCTATACCCGTTGTAACGTTTTAGTGTGGCTCACTGTGGCTGATAGTACCACAGCATTCTTGTTAGGTGTCCAAACCACTTCGTTTGTTGTTCTTTGATGACTTGTAAGACAAGCTTTATTCCTAGCATTCGTCTGATTTCGTGATTTTGTATTCTGTCTTTCCTTGAAACTCATGCAGCTCTTTTAAGGCATTTCATCTCTGTTGTCACAATATTATGTTCATTGGAGGAAGTAAGTGTCCACGTTTGGTACTGATAGCATAGACACATAGATTGTATTCTTAAAAACCTGGCATAAGAGACTAGATACAGTAAAATTTTCTAGGCAATACATTCTAATTTAATCAGATGAGTTAAATGTATTTTATTAAAAAGTGGTGAATATCCCGAAATGTACACTTAAGCCATGATGCCAAACTGTTCAACATCTTCTCTTCTGGTCTTCCTCTGCCTCTCTTCTCCTCCAACCTATCTATTATCATAAAGTACAACAGTATTCCTCTTCTCATGGGCAAGAATGTAGATGGACATGATTCTACATGAATAATAACTTCAAACAGATAGACCATTATTTTTTCTTTTCTTTTGCAATTTATTTCTCCTAACGGGTAGGTCAGTACTTGTTGCTTAGGGTTTGCATGCAGCCCAACAATCCTGAAAACTAGGGTCAAAGTCAGCAACAAGCAGTTTGATAACAGACCACTTCGTGTTGACTTTGACGGTGAAATGAGAGCCATACCATTCATAAAGCAATGGCAAACTGCTAAATGTAAAAGTGTCATAACACCACACATCCGCCAAAAAATAATAATGTTGATTTTTGACATAATAAAAAAAAAAAAAAAAGGTGGTTGACTTTAAAGGTAGATCATCATCATGTAGCAGGTCCTTTGCAAAACGTCGTTCTCATCACAGTCTGCCTGAAAGAAACTCATTCTCTCGCCAGTTCTCCCACCTTATGTACTTTCATACTCAAGGAGTCACATATATCCTGTGCCCATCTTCGTGTCGGTCGGCCCCTGCCCCTCCTTCCTGGTACCATGCCTTCTGCTATAATTTTTTCAGTCCAACGAGGCACTTGATATGACCAAAATATTTCAGCTTCCGAGAAAGGATGCTGTTTATTAGCCAATCTTCCTTAATGTTCAAATCTTTTAAGATGTCAATATTTCTCCTCTTCTTTGTCCAAGATATTCTCAGAATCTTTCTATAGCATTTCAGCTCAAAAGCCCCTATTCTCTTTCTTAAGGACTGAGAGATAGTCAACGACTCACATCTGTATGTAGCCACAGGGAAGATGCATGTTTTCAAAATTCTAATTTTTATCACCAGCCTTGCTGGTACTTAACCATAGACTTTTAAGGCTGTTCAATCTTTGCATTGCTTTGGCCATCCTCCTTTTAATTCTGTCGAACAGTCTCCATTGCTGTTTATTATAGAGCCTAGATGTTCAAAGTTTGTGACATTTTCATTTTCTTCATCATTTATTGTTATTTTTGGGTGACAGCCAGTTTTATCTGTGGACATTATTTTCGTTTTCTTTAAATTCAAGAACAAATTTTGATCTTCACTGTACTTTTGGACAGACAAAATTAAATTTTCTATTCCCTTTATGCTGTTCGAAAGGAGGACTGTGTCATCTGCATAGCGGAGTTCCAGAATAGGGTTGACACCAATTTTGAGCAGATCATAACTGTCACAAGTCTGGTAATTTTTTACATTTCTTATTATATTTTCTGCATATATATTGAATAGGTATGGGGAGAGAATGCACCCCTGCCTCAGGCCCTTTTGCACCTCGAACCAATCTGATGTTTCACCAGCTGCTCTGATGGTTGCTTGTTTTCACAAAAAAGATTTTCAATTAAATGCACTAAACCCCATACTTTTCATAATAGTCCACAGTTTGTGGTGTTGGACACAATCAAAAGCCTTGCTATAATATACCTTTTAAGGTATAGGGGCCCTAGAAAAGCCCAAACTAAGTCATTTGTAGGCTTGGTGATGATTGGCTGGATTTTGTAGATGAAGTTCTCAATGGGATAAAATAGCTACTTTCATGCCAACCTTCCTTAGTCACTTTTTAACCCTCTTAGCACGGACGGGCCGATTATTAGCTGTCGGCAGTCTGGCCAAAAACACAGAACGGCCGATCATTGGCCCGATCGTGTTTCGCCTTGTCACCGAAAGAAATCTCCTATTTTGAAACACTGAAAGTGATTCTTTATATTCATTGCTGTATTAGCTTTACACATGGCGACTTTCTAGTGTTTGGTATCGAAGTGAAAATTGTTGTTAAATTTTTTAGTTAGTGACCTGAACTGCTAAAAGTATGTCTGACTCAAATGTTTCTGCCCCTAAACTTGATGTTGATGAAACATTTGAATCAAGTGATGATACTAATTCTATTGATACTGATGCAGGATCTAGTGTAATAAGTGTTAGCAGTAATATTGGGGAATCAGATGGGGATGCTGATCAGACCACAGCCGAACCATGGCTCAGGGTATATCCACCCAAAGATGTTGACACTCCGGCACATCTATTTCTTGTACTAACTGGTCAAAAACACATTTCACCTAAAGATATTATTGCTGTTTCATATATATACACATATATATATATATATATATATATATATATATATATATATATATATATATATACATGTTTTTGACTATTGAATTACTTACAACAATTGTAAAAAGGCCAAAGAAAAAAAAAAGAGATTTCATATAAAATATATTGTTGTTTTTAGTTATGTGTTTCATGCATTGACGTTGAAAATTCCCATTCTAATTTTCTATTTTTAGATGTGCAAATGAGATAATTTGCATATATATCAATTAATATTAACGATATTGTGAAAATCATGAACTTCAATCTATATCCTTCAAATAAATCTATTTTTTCATGGGGGTCAGAATAATAGAAATGTGTCAAAAAAAAAAAAAATAAAGTTATAACCAAATTTACTGAAAAAATGCTCTGTGTTTTTGGCCAGACATCGGAAAAACTTCCCGTGCTAAAAGGGTTAAGATATGCATGTGTTACAATTATATGTTGCTATAAAACATAGGTAAAATGGACTAAACAATTTACATTCTTTGGTCATGTCATGAGAAGGAGAAAACTGGAGTACATCATGACAGTGGGAAAGCTGGGAAAAAAGGGGGGGGGGTGGAGGAAGCAGAGGAAGATTGAGAGAGAAGATGCTGGACGGTCTGACATCATGGCATGAAAGACTGACTGACTGACTGACTTTCTACCCCACCAGGACATCAAACAAGCAATAAACACCCGATGAAACAAAAGTGCCCCTATGTGGATGAGGATCACCCATGGAGAGGTCCCAGAAACCGCGTTCAGCCATTAGGCCATATTTATGGCCAGGCTATATTGCGACCCCTGGCATGAGCCAGAGTAGGGCTTCAAATAATGAAAAATTGCATCCTAAAAAGGATGCGGCAAGATGTTGATTAGTTATGGCATGGAAGATCATCTGTGTCTGAACTGACTGAAAGTACATGATCAGGTTGTGCATAGACATGACTACCAGTATCACATAGCATGGACTTTAAGAAAAAGATGGACAATAATGAATCTGACAGAATACTGTGTTAGCAGGCCACACCTTTCCAACCACTCGCTGCACATGTTGTGTAGTTCTTGTCTGAGTTTTGCTTCCTCAATGCTCCATACATCCCAAAAGTCAAGTTCCTTCTGCAACTGTCTGTGAGGGTCAACCAAACCAAGATTCCTCATGGCATCAAGGACAGCTGACCTGGTAGAACATTTTTTAAAGAAATGATACAACTAGCATTGATGCATTTTATTTTTGCATGAGATTAACCACTAAGCAAGGAATATAAATAACATTGACACACTTATATTCTTCATCAGTGCTATTTAACTTTGTTAGATCCCCTTCTTCCTGTCTTCACAGCATTCATAAGATGTAAACTCAGGTGGTGGAAAGTTCTCGTTGTTCGTCAACTTCTGGACAACTTCTTTCAGAAGCTCAGTTTTACATCCACATCAATTTTGCAGAACTGGCTTGTTTGTGTGCAGACTGTTGGTTCTTCACATCTCAGACAGATTCATTGTGACTTCAAAGTAATTTCTTCAATAAAGCCAATAAACAACTGAAAATTATTTTAATAAAGTTATGATACATCTGCAATTATTTAAATAAAACTACTATGCTATCAAGCATTATTTACTTGTGGTATTATCAAGAATTACATCCATAAAATGACTATATTTACTATGCTATCAAATTTTACTTCCATAAAGTTACTATACCATGAAGTATTAACAGAACTATCTTTCTATGTGATCAAGAATTAGTTCGGTAAATGTACTACACTATTAAAAATTACTTCAATTAAGTTATAATACTATAAATAATTACTTCCCTATATTTACTATAAAGTCAAGAATTACTTCAATAAAATAACTTTTGTAAAACAGCACAGTGTACCTGACTTCTGTGTCCCCAAGCAAAAACTGGACCATCAACTCAACCACCACTTCCTTCTCTTTAACTGTAAGGGTTGCCAAAGCCTTTAAGGCAGTTAATATAAACTCTTTCTGCTCAGTGACAGAACAGGCAGGTGGCGAGGCATGATGATTCAACACTGCAACAAGTGTCCTGACCACATTAATGGTGACTGATTCATTCAAGCCTTCCTCAGTGTACACATATAGAATGGAGTCAGTGACCTTCACCTTGTCCCCCCAGTCAGCAATACGAAGAAGCTTACAAATCATGACGACAAAACTGTCACTTGTCCAGGGTTTGGGTAAAGTCTAATTTAAACAAAAAAGTGCACAAAATATGTAAGAACCAAAATACAAAATTACTATTTTCATACTTTTCATTTGCATACATTCAGGGAAACAATGAGAAATTTTAAAATGAAACATCCCTTTGAAAAAAAAACGACTGACATTGAATGCAAGTGGATTTTTCATCAACTGCCTCGTCAAGTTGCTACACAAATACTCAAATTATGTACATTTCTGTATATTTATGCGTGATTAATCTAAAAAAAATATAAGCATAATCTGATTTAAGAATTTGCATTTGTTTGTCAGCATATATCATCATCATTATCCTTTTGTACCATTATATGTCACAAATAGCTCCTGTCTATTCTTCGATTCCATGCTGTTATGTGCAGTAGTTCCAATGTCACTGCTGGAATCCAATCTAGCACCTTTGACCTCTCACCTCAACATATGTTACAATGGTAGCAAGAATTAAAAATACTTATGGTAAATAAACAATAACAATAACAGATAGAATTAAAAAAAAAAAAAAAACATTTAGAAAATTTAAAGTAAGAATGATATAACATTACTTATATGAAGGTATGCTGGTGATACCTGTGGGCTCAGAACATCTAAACTATGAATAAGGCAATTTTCCAAAGAAAAACATGTGGTATGATCACCAGAGCAAGATTTTATGGCAGTGACAGAGATTTAGTCTCCACAGCTGTAGTTAGAACTGTTTGAAATGGAAAGAGACTGGTTTGAGTGCTTACTTTTTCCCTATCTAAGAGATGTTGATTGAACTAATCAGCTAGTGTCTTGACAGCTTCCCTGGGATATGCCTTGCTGCATCCTCTAAGGAGCACAAATTAGGTTCCGAGATTCACAAATATATGCTTTCTTTTATCTGGAAAGAAATCTGGTCTGCTCCCCGAATCATTCTTTCCAGATTAAGAAAGCATGCATGTGCAAGTGCTAATCAGAGTTTGCAGCCAATGAACACTAAGAAAAAGTAGATAAATTCACATTTCAAAATATACTCCAACTGTAGTGACTGGCTGGACACGAGAACATTTTTTTTTTTAAAAATAACCCTACCTGAGAAATTCATTTAACTGAGACACCTGACTTACATTCTCATTGCAGTTGGGGAAAAACTTGTGGAACCAGTCTGCTGTAACAAACAATCTGATGAAGTCAGGAAGTGGTGTAGGATGTACTGGTGGAGTTGGAGGCTTGGGAGATGTTGCTTGAATCTTTTCTTCTGGGTGGCTGATTAGTTTAGTAACAGGTCTTAATGGAGAAATAGTCTTTGATGCAGCAGCAAGCTTTGATGGATGTTTGGTGACTTCAAGATCTGGAGTAGTTGTTGGGGAACTGTCTGCTCTATCATTCTTTTCCTGACAATAACAAATTAGTTCAAACATTCAACGTTTGCAGCTGAACATGTAGTTACTCATGTATTTGCCTGTTGGCTGGTATAAAATAAAACAAACAATCACAAAACACTGGGATCCCTTAAAGAAATTATAAATGTAAATCATACCTTGTAATATTCTAACCTTAACCAGCATTTATCAATTTTTTTTATATAACAATAGTGCCACAGATAAACAACACACATCTTTATAACTTTGTTTAGGTTAAATGAAAACATATTTATAGTAATAATAGTAATTGCCCATAAAGGGAAATAATTTTAAAGGTGGTCTTTTTCAACAAATGTGGCAACCTGAACTCTTTCATCACACTTATTATGAACTTTCTGTGAGGAGACACTGTCAAGGAGTGAGTTATAGTGAGCAGATAGAAGTTAATGTGTTTGTTTAAATGTAAAGTTAATCTGCGTTATAGAAAAACTGATCTGCATAAAGCATACAGCAGATCAAATTTAAAATATCAGTATTTAGAATTAGATTCCAAATGATGATTTTCAGTTTTAATACAATGACTGCTTGGTGCATGGAGCCTATGTGTGATGTGTGTTACAACTAGACAGCCCTTCCTGTAGGTTGACTGGTCTAATGGGCTGGAAATCCCATGACATCTTCTTCTTTCGTTCGCCTGAAATAAGTTATCTATATCAGCAGTTTTGTCTCTTGTATAAATTTCACTGTCGTTGTTAGTTCATTCAGTGGTCCATAGAGTTTACGTTCCACTGTTGTTCTTTCTGGCCAAAAGGTTTGCCTTAATGTGTCAAATTCGGTGCAGTCCTGGAGTACATGCTCTGCGGTCTGGGGCACATTTCCACAGGTGCACATGGCTGATACACCTATCTTGAATTTTGTGAACATGTGGTTACCTAATCGGTTGTGCCCTGTTCTGAGGCGGAAGATAATGACTTGTTCTGGTCTGTCCATAATAAAATAGTCGTCTTGTGCTGGGGCTGGTGGTTTCCTGATCGATTTAATGATTCTTTTCTTTTGGTGGTATGTGACTGGTACATCTGGCTGCTCTTTTTTCGCACCTTCCCCTGCCAGTTGATCAGCTTTCTCATTTCCAGGCACTCCACAATGAGACGGTATCCACTGCATTACGACTCTTCGCTGAACGCTGAGTTGTGTCAGCAGTGTTTGCAATTCTGGTAGTTTCCTAGACTGGAGTGCTTCAAGTACTGATTTAGCATCTGTAAGCATTACCACATACTGTGAGCCAAGGTTGGTATTTAGCAGTTTCTCTGTAGCTATCTTAATAGCCTGGGTTTCTGCATCGTAGTTATGGCAGTACTTCCCGGTTGGTACGCTGGACTTATCCCTAGTACCATCTGGGAATTCGATGTACACTCCAGCACCACCATTTCTAACTGCACTTTCTGCGGACCCATCTTTATAGACTCTGACCCATTGTTCTTGTGGGTATTCTTCATCAATATAACTGAGGGTGGCCATTTTGCGTTGTACACTATCTTGCTCTTTCTTGTCAAATATCCCTTTCACATTTGTCTGGATTTGTACCGTTAGTTTACATTTTTCTCTCCATGGGGTTTGTTCCGGAATACTTTTTAGTGGGCAGCCAATTTCTGGAAGGTCAGGAGTTTGTCTACATATTCTTTTTGCTTGGTGTATAAAGCTGCTTCTTTTTAACCGTCCCAAGGCTAGGTTCTTAAATCTATTTTCCATCGGGTGATCTGGCATACTGAGGAACTTTTCAGCTTGTATTTGCAACTTTGTATCTCTGCGTTCTCTCAGTGCCTGTGTTTTCCCAGCTTTCTCCATTTCTAATATGGGGGTTGATTTCATCCCTCCTGTGATGACTCTGAGCGCTTGATTTTGCACTTTGTCTAACTCCTTTAATGTGGTACTACCCATGACATCAAAAAGGGGTTCCCCAATGGGGCAGGTCAAGGGTGCACAGGCCAGTTAAGGAGGAATCGTGGGAAAAGCGTGGCCAAAGGGGGATTTTGAGTCCATGTGAATAAGCTAATGATTGTTGAGAATCTTGTGAAGTGAAAGGGAACAAGTGAACTTAGGATAGAATGAAGAGGCATTCTGTGTAAGCGCAAGAGGATGCGGATGGTTGGACTGAGTGATGGTTGAAGTGAATCTGAACAGCCGACAGCGGAAGTGAATATCTGGCATATGTGGAGAAATGGCTGAGCAGACAACAGAAGCCTGTTGTTGACTGAATTTGAGAAGAAATGTTCATTGTGTATCAGTTAGCAGAGGAAGGAGTAAATGACGAGAACAAGTTTAAACAAGGTAACACAGATGAACACAGATTGGGTAGCATTTGAGACAATCACTGTATGAGAATACTTTCTAGACGATCTATGATAGGGACCACGTTAACATGACCTATGAATCAGCAGTAAACAGTGGTGTGGGTAAACTGGTCTTCCTCTTGGTGTACTGGTGATACTAACTCTCTCAATTAGTGTAGTCCTAAAGTTAGACAGAGGCCAGTCATTGCAACTGGGATGTCCTGAGAGGGTATAAGATTGTTGTGGATTATGGGTAATGGGCTGCATTGCTTTGTATTAGCTGTGTATCATACAAGTTTATTCATCTCACAATGGTGGTCGTATGTGTTGGTAGTTGGTATCTAAAACCTAAAGGTTTGCTTAATGGTTCCTATGCAACATCTCCCCACCTACACAAGCACGCAAGTATAATCCAAGAATGACTTCATTAGTCACCACTAATCTTATAATAATTCTTTAATATATAAACTGTGTGTTCATATTACCTGATAAACAAATTTGTATGCCCTACATCTTTTAAAAACAAATGTTTTTTCTTGTAATTTTAGGATCACAATATATAAAATACTCCTAAGACCAGCTGTCCTTATAAGGCTCTAAAAGCTGGTTACAACTAAAATATACAAAGCCCTATTGCAGAATCTCCTCACAGGAAATTTTTAATAAGTGTGATAAAGAAAAGAGTTCAGGTTGCCACACAGAGATTTGAACAGTCTTCTCAATGCTCAACTGGTCTATGAAGGCTCAGGTGGCTAGAACATACCTTGAGAATGGAGGATGCCAGAGTCCCTAAGGACATCCTCTATGGTGAATTAAAAACGGGTAGAAGATGTTGAGGCTGACCTCTACTGTGATATAAAGACGTGTGCAAGCATGATATGAATGATACAGGTATTGAGGAGGACTCATGTGAACAAAATGCCATGGACGATGTTGTATGGAGGGGGCACATCACGAAGGGAATGAGAATAAGAGTAGAAATAGTTGCAGATAGGATGACAGCTGAGTGTCTGAGAAGAAACAGACTAAACACAAATGTTGACAACAATGATCCTGAAATCCCGTGCTATAATTGCTCAAGACTTTTCTTAACGTGGGCAGGTCTTGCTAGTCACACTCGCCATCCCCATGGGCTGTGAGTCCCATGCCTCATCACAGCGCAATATAACACTGTTGTCTGGAAAGACGGAAAGATGCCAATCATTGCAAACTTCTGAGAACAGAGTCCCATGACTAATCTTAGATGCGAACAGGGAGGAGAATGGAGAGTGAGGAGCAACAGTAACTTTCATAATCAGTTTAAATCACAACTAATTACTGGCATCATTAGGGCTAATAACTTCAGTGGTTGGTAGGCAGGTAGTTGTACCCCATTAGGACATAACCCAAGCGATAAATATCTGGTGACACGAAGTGTCACCATGCGGATGAGGATCACCCGTGGGGAGGTCCAAGAAACCCCTTTCAGCCATTAGGCCATATCTATGCCCCGGCTATATTCAGGGTCCCTGACAGAAGCCAGGGTGGGGCTTCAAATAACAAAAAAATTGCATCCCACATGGGGACGACTTTTCTCTTGTAAACTTAAATGATTGAAGCATGTAGTGAGAAAGGATGATAACAGAGAGACAAAAACTGTGTACACAAAAGAGATGACCCTGAGGCAAACCAAGAATATGATGGTGAGATAATTAATATTCAGGGACTAACAAATACTTTGAGTCACCCACTGGAAAATTTAAAAGGTCAGCAGAGAGATGAATGAAGATGAGTGATATCTGCAGAAATGAACCTTTAGGGTTCAAAATGCTGAAGAAAAAGAAGAAGGAGGAGGAGGAAGAAGAAGGAGGTGGAGGAGAAAGAGGAGACAGAGAAGAAGAAGATGAATTACATATTACCAAACAAATATTACATTTAAAAAAAAAACTTTTAATGAGAACACTTTTTACTTACAGATTTTGATGAAGTTTTATGTATAATTTCTTGAAGTTTTGACATCAGAGATGATTTCTCTGGCAAGACATCCTGACTAGTTACAACCTGATCTCCATTCACATCTTCATTCTGCAAATCCGTTTTCTTTGTTTGCCTTTTTTCTTTTTGAATCCTTTGAACTGTTTTGAGTGTTGCAAATATTTTAATGGAAAAATAATTATTGCTGACCAATGTTTTCAGGATTTTTACAGTAACACAAATAAATACACACTTCATTGAACATTTGAAAAATATTTTTAGAATGTACTTTTTAATACCACCCTGGGAACAAATTATGCTGCCTTGTCTCCTAACAAACATGTCATAGGAGGCAACTAATAAGGGGTGGCTCCTTTAAGGTCAGAGTGCATCTGCTTGAGAAGCAAAGAACCAACAGTCTGCATAGAAATAAGCCAGATCTGTAAAATGGATCTATATATGAAACTTAAGTTCTGGATTAAGATCAAAGTGCAGAAGTGGATGAAGAACTAGAACTTTCTGCCAGAGTTTACAACTGATGAATGTGAAGAAGATGATGATATTAGGAAGATTCTTTACTATGGCAGAACCTGAACGCACACCACTTTTACTTAAATATTTAAATCTTTCAGTAACTAACAACTCAACAAAGATTTCTTGGTCTTTCCAGCAATAATGTCAGACGCATTAACATACAGATCTTTACGGTCTGAGGACAATGGCACTGCAGGGAGTTACAAGGGGATCCGGCCAACGCATGACACTCAGGGGAAAGGCGAGACGGATATACCATCAGACAGTCACTGGTACCATCAGAATTTCAACTCTTTGCTTGCTGCTGAAGATGTGGATGGAGCGCTTATGGGGGTGTCCAGAGTGCTGTAATGTCGATTCCTAATTCAACATACAACATTCCATCAATAAGATGATGTTCTAGTCTTCTATCAGAGACAGGTGTCATGTTAAACAATTGTAGCTGAATTATTGGTTTCACTATTTCTTTCCCACAATGTCTATGGTGAATTCGCTCAGACATAAGTATTTCATGCAGTAAAACTTTTCTTCTATTATACTACGTCCTAATGTCAAGGGAAATTTTGTTTTGTTTGAAAGCCCCACTCTGGCTGTTGCTGGGGGTCCTAATAAAACCTAACCTATGGGTTGAAAAGGGTTTTTGGGACCTATCCCCGGGTGATCCTGATCTGAATGGTAGCACTTTGTGTCACCGGGTGTTTATCACTCGGTGGGATGTCCTGGTGGTGTTGATGAACATCATCATGATCAACCCTTTTATCAAAACAACATTTCAGAAAAAATGGTGTCCCGAGAATTACTTGAGAGATACTTTTTAAAATTTACTAAAAAATATTAATTTTTAAATATATTTTTTAACAACTGTGTGTATATAAAATAAATAAAGGAAAATAATCAGTAAATATGAATGGAGTGAAGAATTACATGGAATTCATTCTCTGGGACCTAAAATAATTTATATGCTTGACCTTATGACCTCATTTCTATTTGACTACCAAATCAAGGTAAAATATGATGTCCTAATGGTTTTATAAAAATAAAAAAGTTTTTTCCCACAAGCCCCCCTTCCACTGCCTCTCTGTTTCCATCCATGCTATTTTTTGTAAATATAATCATATCTGGGGCCTCTTAAACACTGCACAGGAGCAAACAGAACCAGTGTCATTAATTAAGCTTCTCTGAGATAAGTCAATGCAGCTATGCCAAATAAGCAGGGTTTTGTAACAAATTAGGGTTATTCTAGAGCCAAAAGGTTTCCTTGAAAAAGAAGGGGGTTACAGTTATAACTGATTGGGACTCAAAGAATTAAGAGATAAAGTTCACTGTGGTACTTTTACTGAACTAATTAGAAGATATATGCTCACCTATAAAATGTAGCTTCTTTTCTGAAGATTTCTCTGGATGGATACCATTGTTACAGGTTTTGTCTTGTCTGCTTTCCTCATCATCACTCGTAAGTTCAACCTCAAGGACACGTGATAGGTGGTCTTCATCATAATAAGTCACAGAACGACTTAATGCTAGGTCAAGGTCTTCAAAGTCCTGACCAGTATTTTGTCTCTAAAATAAGGATCAAAGAGAAGATGAATTACAAATATGACCGGTATAAAGGCTGTTATTAAAAAATATGCCTCTCTGTAAAGGCAATGCATCACAAATATGTCCCTTTGTAAAAACAATGTATCACAAATAGGTCACTGTGTAAAGGCTATGCATCACAAATGTATCACCCTATAAAAGCTATATGTCACAAATATGTCACTCTATAAAGGCTATTATCACAGATATGTTGCCTTGTAAAAGCAATGTATTGCGAAAAAATGTAACACATTGTAAAGGCTAAAATATATCACATGTATGTCACCTTGTAAAGGCTTTGTATCTCTGCCAGCTGCTTCGAAGTGAGTTCTGGTGGTTTGTAGGGAGCCTGTTCTTTCAGATCTTCTTCTTGTAGAGGAACTGGGTGTAGCAGCTTTATCAGCACTGAGTTGGGGAGAAACCCAGATGGAGCAGATGGATAGCCAAAGTGCATGAGAGATGCTGGATTCTCTTCTAGCAATTTCTGGCCCATTTCCATGAAAAATCCAAATGGTGCTTTCTCAATTTGAGTTGTTTCTTCTAAATTCAGGGAAATAAACTGTCAGGATTAAGTGTCAGGTATAAATGAATGCAACTTTTAAAACTCTCTATAGACAGCACAAGCAATTTAAAAAAGTGAAATATGAAGATATTAATTGACCATGTGGTTTCCAGGGCCCTATTCTGGATAAAAAAGAAAAAACCAGTGCCTTCTTAACAAGAATGTTCTACAAGTTAATTAATTAGGGGAGTTTCTGTCAAAGTCAAAGTGCATCCATCTGAGAGGTGAGAAACCAACAGTCTGCAAACAAATAAGTCAGCTCTGTAAAATGGATGTGCATGTTAAACTCAAGACTAAAGTCTGGAAATGGATGAATAACCACAACTTTCCACTGGCGTTCACAGCCGATGAATGCTAAGAAGAAGAATAAGAAATTAACAAAATGTTAGAACACTGAAACTTTCACGGTTGCTATTGTCAGTATGTACCACTTTTAAGGAAGGTGTAAACAGGATGATAGTGAGCCTGAGGGTTTAGAGCCACACAGCTAGTGCTGTTGCCACGGACTGTACAGGTTAGTATGTTTTAATTTTGCCCCCGATATAATTTCTGCATCACCTTACGGGGGTTGAACTAGGGTCTCCGGCATGAGAGCCTGACATTGTAACCGTTTGGCCAGGTTCTTTGTCTTTAAAATAAGGAACAGAGAGCTGCGACTATGAAAGAAAAATATAAGCAATAATTCATCACAACAAGAAAATAAGAATCAGTAGTAATAAATAATATATTATCATCTTTATTATCATCCATTATACATAACAGTGGCATCCGTGGTTTGGGCGTTCGAGTCCGGCTTATAATTCCAACGTACCGCGATCGAAACCCACTGCTGGCTGCATGAGTTTTTATCATGGTATGGGGCGTCGCAGGTCAACCCAGCCTAAAGTGGGTACCAGGATGGCTGTCCTGGGGAAGTGAAGACAGCCGGCGTAATACTGACTACATTACCCACCTAATGCCAATTGGAATATGGGATGTTCTTCCTATATGCCCAATGCGCCTAAGGCGTAAATAGGGATCTTTAATTACTTTACATTATACATAACATAAAGCGTGCAGACTAAGGAAGTCTATTTCTACATTATGTTTTATCTTTTGCAATATTTTTGCTATTATTGATGGAATCTAATCCAACACCTGTGGCCTTCCTCATGAACCATGGTCCCAGGGTTTCTTTTGAACTTCCTCATTTCCTTATTCCAATTGTTTCCCATTTCTATGTCTGTTCAGGGATTCTCTGTCCACTTATCCTCACGATTTGCTCAGTATATCGCTATCTTCTTTGTCTCACAACTGTTGATATCATGTGTTGTTCAGATATTTATCTGATGTCTTCACCTTTATTGGATTCATCTCATCTAATAATATTACATTTTCCTTCTTTTTGTTCAGCATTCCAAGCCTTCGAAATTCACTGAAGCAGATACCATCTCCATTCAACTGTCTGATTGGCCTTCTCTTTCCAGTTGGTTACTCCAAATGTTTGTTTGTCCGCCTGGATATTATCCTTCCACTGTCTGCTTGGTCTGCCTTATGGCCTACTTCTATTCAACTGTTTATGTATTATTAATAATAAAATAATATAATAATATTATGACATTACAATAACAAATTATAGTTACTAAAAGATTTAATATTAAAATAGTCGTCACTTTATAATAATGATACAAAAAAAAGGATAGGCATTTCATTCATGTGTACAAGAATAAGATATAAAACTTCATTTAATTCTTATTCATAAATCATGTTATATCTATTCAAACTGATGGACAGGACAGAACAAAAATATACTTTTGATAGAAGCAGATTCTTCTCCTAACTTCTTCAGCAGTGTTGCTTCAGGATAATCATCAAACAATGGCTGAGATGAGAGACAAACAAAGAATAATTATGTTACATCGCCTACACTGGCTTTTCACATTGTATTTGGTCAATGATATATATATCATTTTAGAGTACAGTACTTTACATACAATGTGTGAAGGTTCATATTATTTAATTCAGAATATGTATAATGTGATTTATGCAATAATTCCGGAAATATATTACCAACTGTCTTGCATAGAAAAGAGACTCAGCCAGCGTCAACATATCTACAAGAGCTGAAGATCCACTTCAGCCAACCTTCACTGTGGGGTTAACACTTGATTGATTGGATTGCTTAGTTGCTTTATTAGCAGTCCAGGAATTCTCAAAATTTTCTTTGGTTCACATGTATCTCCTGAAACACTCTTTAATATTCCAGGGAGGATGATTTCATTTCTTTCCATTCATTCTCTAACAGATATTCCTGAAATTTTTAGGGGCTTTCTATATCTGGGTTAGAAATGATTCTCTCCTTCAATTTTCGAACCATACTTTTGAAGCTGTTAGGACATCTATTTTTTTTCAATTTATCTGCAAGCTTACTCTTATTTCTCTGCCTTCTCTTGCACATGTTTACCACATCTGTGTCACCTGTTGAGTACCAACTGGCCTACACTAATACTGGTCTAGCACGTATGCCTAATGCACTGGTGGGTTGAACAGGTTTCTTGACTACTTACTTTACTATATATTTTTATTATGTAAAATGGCCAGTTTCCCCCGACTTAAGGCCCATTGGGCATACAGGGATAGACCTTTTATTAACCAGTCGGCTCTAAGTGGGTGATGTAATCAGCATCACGCCAGCCACCTTTACTTCCCAGGACTCCACATGGTACCCACTCCCAGCTGGATCAACCTGGGTCACTTTTGAAAAAAAAAAATTGACCTGAACCAATGACCTTCCGATCTGCAGGCGAGCACCTAACCACTATATCATGGGGCCCTCATATTTTTATTATGTAATCCGCAGTCAAGGATTATGATACATGTGCTGATGAAGCAATAGGTAGACAGTATTTTTGTTGTATCACCACCTTCCCCCCTCCCCTTTTTCAACCCCCCTCCCCCTTCCGAACACACACAAAAAAGCATTAGTACATGCTAATTGATTTTTAAAATGTTCTGTGTATTTTTATATGCAACTTCATATTGATTAACTCTTTGAGTCCCAGGTGGTTTAGCATCACAGGCCCGGGGGTAGTAAATAGAGTCATAAAAACCGCTTCTAGGAACCTATGAACGCATGATGCGTTCCCTGGGATTCAAAGAGTTAAAATTGCAGAATTTTGGTTTGAAAATCTTATTCCATCTGGAGAGAGTCAATGTAAACCTTTAGCAGAAACAAACTGTAATAGAGTGTTGAACCTCTAAACAATGGGCACACAGTGTCCTTTGGATATTTTTTCCAGGTTATGTCCGTGTGTTGGAAATTAAACAGGCACATAGACTGGCGGGTTCTGCATCATTTGCTTGTGAACTGATATTTGACAAGTGTTTACAGGAACTTGCAGAGTACTGTGATGTCAATTCTCAGTTCAACATTCAACAACATTCACATTCCAAAATTCACTGTCGTGTATCAAAGTATATTCCACATGCCAGTTTAGTACACTTTCTCTGACAATCTATGAAAATGACTTTTTTACATATGACTCACTTTTTGAAATGCAACTTCAAAAGTTTAATTTACAGAACAGTCAGTACAAATCCAAACCTGTTCTCTCTCCTTGTCATAATATATCTTCATGTATTCTTTGAATGCTGTATTCTGGGTCTCTTTAGTAGACTTTGGCTTGCGTTTGGCTTTCAGAACACCATCCCTAATCTGTTTTAATTCATTTTCCCTGAGCTCCAACAGCTCAAATCTCTGAGGAGATTACCAGCACATTCTTTTATTCATTTTTTAGACAAAAATTTATAAGTGAATGAACAGAAACAAGAATGTCAACTTGAGAAATATATTAGTTAAATAGTATGTACAAGTGCTTGTATGTGTCCCAACATTTGAAAAGCAAATACAAGAACACTAGTCAATATGCTACATATTTGACTTATTAGTTTGCTGGATCTAATAGTTAGTTCCAATTTTTACAATGATAAAACATACATTTTTGTTTTCTTTAAAATGCAACTACAATGGTAAAAAATGCCTCTTTGCCTTCTGCATGATACCTTTATGATGATCAAATATTCTTCTCACTTTTTTTTCTTTCCCATTCCATTATAAATTATAAAATACTCTTTTTTGTTTTGTAAACAATACTTACACAAAAACAAAATACAATTTTTTTGCCCTATGCATGATACTTTTATGTTTAAATGTTTTTCTTGTTGCAACAATTTTTTTTTTTTTTTTTTGTAACAATGGTATAATCTTAATTTCTTTTCTCTAAAAATAGCTTCACAATACGAGATACTTTTAGCACTCTTTGTTGCTGTTGAAACTAAAGTAATGAATGGCTTTGTGTGTTAATTGACTGACATCATGTAAAAGATTAACCTCCATGGGGTGGGAGGTGTCTACCAATGATAAGTGTTCACGCCATTTGTCTGACTTCATCTAGAAGATTAACCTCAAGGTGGTGGGAGGTGTCTACCAATGACAAAAAGCTATTAAAAGCCACGGCCTTCTCTATTTATAGGCCTAACAGGTCAATGGGGATTCCCGTTCTTGTGCAAGAATTGAGTCCCCCTGCGCCCACAGTTTTTATCGAGGAGATGTATACACAAATTAAACTACAGCTTCATTAATTTTCAACATATTTTATAGAACTATACATCATTTTTAAGGTAAATAAGTGTGGCAATTAAATAAAAAAATAAAGGCTCTTACAGACAAACAAAAATGCTTTTGCTACAGTCAACATGAATATAAATATCAACAACGTTTAGATATAAACTAACATTTGTTTCAGCAAAAGTAAAGAAATATGAGTGCTAACTCTTTGATTCTGAGAGGTTATTGTTGCATCAGAGGAGCGGGGGGGGGGGGGGGGGGGGGGGGGGTGGGGGGGGGGTGGGGGGGGTATAGGGGACATTTGTACTTTATCAAATTTAGCGCATAAAAATACTGCTTTGAAACATACACATGTCATACATAACATAAATATAAATGATTGATGGTTATTATTATTATTATTAGTGAACTACTACAACATATAATTATACTGTTATTTAAAAATTAGTAAATTGTCTGGATTTTTTCACCGGGTTGGCTCTGCACAACTTGGTGGAATACTGCTACATGATAGGGCAGACGTGGTTAGTGCCTTGTGGGAGAACGTGTACAATGCGGAGGAGCAGATGGATCACCACAGTTTGGTGAGATTGATGCAGTTGGGGGTGACGAGAGGTTCTGGCAGAAGCTCAAAGCTCAGAGGAAAGGCAAGTCGGACATTTAATCAGAAAGCTACTGGCACCATTAGCCTTTAGCACCCCACAATAAAAATTCAAATTATTTCCCTTGGCTGCCACCTTATTTTTTCACATTTTGCGTTTTTTATGGAGGAAACATGAAAAACACTATAACTTTTTGGTTTATGAATAATTTTGCATAATTATTTAAACTGAAATAAACAAATGATTTCTGCATCCATTGATATGAGTTTTGTTGGTGTATGTTTGATAGGTGATGTGTGAGGACAGAGTGAAAAGGGAAAAATGTAAAAAAAAACAGTACAAACATAAAGACTCACCAATTAGTCATGCATCTCCTCGTAATCCGTATCCTAAGAATCTGACACACTGTAAACAGAACTACCTTCACTTACGTCTCCAGACATATCAACTTCGCGACTGATATCGGCTGCAGTAAAACACAAAATCTCATCGTCAGAGTCAGAATCCATGAAGATTTCAGAAAAATTTAATTCCATTTCGAAGGATGGTGATGGATATCGAACCGGCTGATAAAAATTGAGCAAACAAACCCACTATCGGCCATTACAGGAAGTTAAACCACTGTAGAATAGTTATTTATAGTTTTCAAGTGACGTCAAACGCGTAGCTCCGCTTAATCTACGTATTTTTGAACCATATATAGATGTCGACTATACTCGACTGTGGGAGGCAACGGGGTGAACGGCGGAAGTCCAGTATACTCGACTGTGGGGTGCTAAAGGTTAGTATCGGAACTCTTCGCTGGCTGCTGAAGATGGGGACGGAGCGCTTATGGGAATGCCCCGAGTGCTGTGATGTTGGTTCTTGAATCAAATCAAAATCAAATCAAATCAATTAGTAAACAAGCACAATCAGTATGAAATTGATATGTGCAATGCTTTCTTCACCCAGAGTAGTTTTATTAACCATTCTTATAGCACTACTAAATATGTATCCTCAAGGTACAAACAGCACAAACAAATTTGTCCAGTTTCATCTTGTTGGATGCAATCAATTCCTTATCATTGCAAACTTTTTGGTAACTGTTTAAAAATACATCACACATATTTCTAATTACTGAATGCAACAACGCGTATAAGTATAATGAATGGTATATTATTTTAAAGGTAATTAAAGCAAATTAAAAAAGACCATATAACTGCAAATTGCTGAGCAACATACACATATCAAACACAAAAATCCCCATATAGATACCGGATCTCGTTGTTCAAAACTGTCTGGAACAAGACCAAAGCCCAGAATAAGATGAACAGTCAGAAGTTTCTGCCAGAGTTTACAGCCAGTGTTTGCGAAGCAAAAGCCAATTAACAAAAATTAACACAGACCGTACAACTGCAAATATGCATAAGAAATGGATGAGCAACCAGAAGTTTCCACAAGAATTTACAGCCAGTGTTCGCGAAGCAAAGCAAAAGCCAGTTTACAAAAATTAACACAGACTGTACAACTGCAAATATGCAAAAGAAGTGGATGAAGAACCAGAAGTTTCTGCAAGAGTTTACAGCCAGTGTTCGCGAAGCAAAGCAAAAACCAGTTTACAAAAATTAACACAGACCGTACAACTGCAAATATGCATAAGAAGTGGATGAACAACCAGAAGTTTCCGCAAGAGTTTACAGCCAGTGTTCGCGAAGCATAAGTCAAATGGTTAAGGATTAATATTATTAGTGTACTGCTACAATATATAATTATACTGTTAGTCAACAATTAGTAAAGAGGCAAAGAGTGACTTGCTGTGAGAGGTTAGTTAGTAAATTAAATATTATTTTCATCCATTTACCTAGAGCTCTGAAATATCTTGACACAATTTATCCACAGTGTGATTGCACCATTTATGCACAGTCAATATGAAAGCAATAGTTTTCTTCCAACACAAGATAGTTTGCACCTGACAACTGTCGATATTCTCCAGATATGGCTTCTAAATTACCTGTTTGTATTTTCCCTAAAAGTAAGATTTCTACATTTAAAGTAGAAACGTAATAAACAGCCAGTTCCCTAAAATCTGAACTACTGACTAGAAACAGTGACACACACATCACAACACGACTGTCTCCCGTGAATTAAAATTAAAATTGCTGTAATCTAACAACAAAGTATGAAAATCTTGTATATCCCACTTTACAATATCCGCTTGTCGATTTGTAATACGAATACAATCAGAACACAGAAGTTTGTAAGCATATTATATTGTCACACAATGCAACATGGAAACGCTTCAAGTAACCTATTTTCGAGGGGACTCAGCCAAAATGTATCGTGATTCAGTTGTTAGGCATTATTAGAGAAGGCAGTGTTAAAAGCCTTCTTAAAGTTGATGAAATTCAAAATAAGAGGTTGTCTTTTTTCAATAAATTTCTCAAAAAGTGTCTCAGAGTATTTATTTGATGTAAGTGCCTTCTTGAAAACCCACTTTTACCTCTCTTAGAATTTTGTCTTCTTCCAATTTAATTCTATTGTGAATTATTCTATATTTATGATAATACTACCTCATCTTTTTTCACATTTTCCTGTCTAATGTCCATGTGCTTTTCACGAGCTGACTTATCAGTGTGCCTGCAAAAGAATACAGTTTGATACTTGATGAGAACATAGAAATATATGAATTTAACAATTGCAGTGATCAAACCACAGTAAACACATAACAAATGTAACCCGCAAAGGATTGCTTTCAAAGAATAGAAAAACAAATGATTCAATGCTGTGTGCCTGTAACACTATGTGAAAATAAATGATTCAGTGTTGTGTGCCTGCAACACCATGTGAAAACACATGATGCAATGCTGTTTGTCTGTAACAAAATGTGAAAACAAATGATGCAATGCTGTCTGTCTGTAACACCATGTAAAAACACATGATTCAGTACACACAAAAATGAATCAATGCTTGGTGACTGCAAGGGAATGTAAAAACAAATGATTCAATGTTATGAAACCTTAAGAGCATGCAAAAACAAATGATTCTTCTTCTTCTGACAATCAATCAATCCTCATCGCACCCAGAGGCACATAAGGCAGAGACAAACTATCACCACTTAGTTTGATCCTGAGCCATCCTCTCTATCTTCAGTCTTGTCCTTCAGGTAGCCTTGTTCAGCCTCAAAGGTTCACCTCAAAGTGCCTCTCATGATTTGAGTTAGGAAAAGCAGTTAGTATGCAAAGCATTAGATGATCAGTGTTTTAATTTTGATGATAGAAATTAGCAACATATACTACTTAATGTAATAAAAAACATTAAAATGTTTGTCACTGAAGTAACTTCCATTAACTATTCTGAGGTAAGCAATTTATTACTAGTTATACACATCAGAGGTCAGTATGTGTGACTTCAGCCTACACTTGTGTAAAAATTGCTCCCTCTAGTTAGATTCCATTGAATGTAATAAGCTTTACATAGCCGTGGACAGATTTTTATAAAACTGTTACCAGGGTAACAGCCTTATGGTAAACTCTTTGTGATTTCAAGCAGCCTTTAAATTTTCAATTTGCAAAAATGGTATATGGTTACAAAATGTACGAAAGTAGCATGGTAGAGTAAATAAACTATACCATCAGTAAATTTCAGGCATCTCATTCACCCTGCTTGCTTTTTCTTGTGCAGGGGTAGAGTACCTTCTGATATCACAGCAAGTATGTGATGAATGAAAGTCAGGAATAACTAAAATGTTTACAGAACTGTCGAACTGATCACTACTTAACTGTGCTAGGCAGACACAACTATATGTGTATGGTTAGGACAACCCACCAAATATAGGTACTGCCTTTGTAGAAAGAATTGACAACCCACTGAGGGCAATTATGCAAAGAAAATGTGTGTCTGAATATAACCGTAAGACACTGAATATAACCAGTAAGTCACACACTGGGGTTAGGGGGGAAGCAGGGAGATAACAAACAGGGGGTGAGGGGGGGGGGGGGGGGAGGAACACATGCACGCACACATGCACACACGTGAAAACAGACACACTCACACACTGATATAGAAATATATATTTGAGTAGGGAAAGGTGGCTTTCAAGTTCACCAGCCATAACTTCTGTCTAAAATCCTGTCTGTTCCTCCACTATGGTCTTTTTTTAAATTCCAGGATATGAGATTTACGTGTGCATCCATTTTAAAGACCTGTGCAGTCTGTTGTTTCCTTACCTAACAGGCAGATGCACTCTGACTTCAAGGCAAACAGATAATGAAATCATTACAGAAATGAAAATATGAAGTTAATTTCTCCTCATGAATACACATACCTGAATGAGGCATGAGCATTTTTCAGTCGCATTACATCAGCTTTGTTCATTAAACTCAGTTTATTTTCATCATATGGTAATGGCTGCTCAGCCTTGACAGGTAAAAATTTCATGCATGCTTGTTTTCTCTTGTAAGACTTTGGAAGATCTGATAGAGGTCAAAATACACTATTATCACTCATAAACTACACTTAATGCTTAAAGGGTGACATAGAGGTTCACTGAGTAACATTATAAGAGTTTATGATTACATAACTTGTCTGTATAGTTTGTTTCATTCTGTCTTGATAACATATTTTAAAAAAGCCCTTATTTTATGATTTTTCTTTTCTGTGTTCCATGTGTGGGCTCTTGACTCCATTTTGTAGAAAAAAATAATCTTACACCAAGTAACTAATTAGGGGTTAGCTGAAATTGTATGTGCTGGGCTCAGAGGCATGGATTTCACAGCCTAGCTGGAAACTACAACACAACGTGCCAACTGTGGTAATCTTGACACATGTCCAGACCATTTGACCACTTTAGTACTGGTTCCATACCATATACCTCAATTTAGTCTTTAAAACCGTGGAAATCATTAATCCTTGAATTTTTTTACAAGTCAGGGAGTCATGATAACATAATGGCTAGCACATTTGTCGGCCAGCCCACCGGTCATGTTTTCAAAATGCCAATCAAGGTGACAATATCTTTTTAAAAATTCACCTGGGCTTTCAGTTTAACCTAGCCTAAAATGGATGCCAGAAAGTATTCTAAAATGTAAAAGAGTCCAGTGAGATACTGACCACATCACATGATGGGTGCTGACTGGTCTATAGCAAATATAAGGCTAGCACCATGTACCTACCATGCTGCAGGACAAAGCAAAGAGTCTTTCACTTACCCTTTCACTAATTCTTTAACTTACTCTTTCACTTACTCTTTTCACTCACATGGCATCAGGGAAAAGACTATATACAAGCCATAAAGTAACAACTCGTGTTCATGCCCATTTAATGACTTATGCTAAAAGTCTGTTTATTACTTGTTGTCTGCATCAACATCCTGGTCCATCATTCTGAGCCATTCGTGCTCGTCCTTTGATGCAGCAGCCATCTCAGTGTCTCCATGATCGATGTACCCAGTAGAAGTTAATGAGCAACTATTCTTTCTTTGCCCAACATCTCAGTGTCTCCATGATTGATGTACCCAGTAGGAGTTGACTGGCATATCTTCTTTCTTTGCCCCACATCTCAGTGTCTCCATGATTGATGTACCCAGTAGGAGTTGACTGGCATATCTTCTTTCTTTGCCCCACATCTCAGTGTCTCCATGATTGATGTACCCAGTAGGAGTTGACTGGCAAATCTTCTTTCTTTGCCCCACATCTCAGTGTCTCCATGATTGATGTACCCAGTAGGAGTTGACTGGCAAAACTTCTTTCTTTGCCCCACATCTCAGTGTCTCCATGATTGATGTACCCAGTAGGAGTTGACTGGCATATCTTCTTTCTTTGCCCTGCAACTGGTTTCTGCAGGCCTGTACTTATTTAATAACCATTTCCAACAGGTGGTTTATTGTCTTTGACTTCTGAGTCTCAAGATTTCTGGAATACAGCACGTTCAGTATGTCTCTCCTGTCCTTCCTCCACTTCTTCCTCCATTTCTTCCTCCACTTCTTCCTCCACTACTTCCTCCACTACTTCCTCCACTACTTCCTCCACTACTTCCTCCACTACTTCCTCCACTACTTCCTCCACTACTTCCTCCACTACTTCCTCCCCTTCTTCCTTCATTTCTTCCTCCACTTCTTCCTCCATTTCTTCCTCCACTACTTCCTCCCCTTCTTCCTCCATTTCTTCCTCCATTTCTTCCTTCACTACTTCCTCCACTACTTCCTCCACTACTTCCTCCACTACTTCCTCCACTACTTCCTCCACTACTTCCTCCACTACTTCCTCCACTACTTCCTCCACTACTTCCTCCACTACTTCCTCCACTACTTCCTCCACTACTTCCTCCACTACTTCCTCCACTACTTCCTCCACTACTTCCTCCACTACTTCCTCCACTACTTCCTCCACTACTTCCTCCACTACTTCCTCCACTAACCACTAAAGACATGGGCAGTCTGACAGATGTTTCATTTCATTTCCTCCTGTCTCCAGGTGTGGACATCCAAGATAGTTTACTTTGTCGTCAGGCAGGACTTCTGGATGCTGTCAACCCATTTTTATAGGAGTTTGCCAGTTTGGATCTTTTTAAGCATGTTCACTGAGCTGTCGATATCAATGCAAAAGGTTGTTTTCTGTTCCGCCAACCATGCAAGTGCCCTGGTGAGAACTGCCATTTCCATCATCATGACAGAAGTATTTGAAGTGAATGCCTGACTTTCTTCTTTCACTGTCTTCCCATTCTGCTGCAATGTTTATGCCTGCCCAGACCACACCCTATGAACCACTGAGTCATCTGTACAGATGGTGACATCACCTGGTCAAGTGAGTCCATTTGAATGTGATAAGGAAATAGTCAGTTGACAAACCATAAGAGAAAAGCTCACATACAATGCTATAAGGAAAAAAGTAGATTTACATGACATAAAGGAAAAGTCCATGTATATGTCATGGTAAAATGCCCAAATGTGTGCCATACTTTAGGTCTGTTTACATATAATATGTCCTACCTGGATTTACAGTGTTTCATGCTTTTTAGAGCATTCTTAGAATCCAAACTGTGTCTATTCAGAGACAGACTGAGCCAGATGGGATAAAACATGCTAAGATGTTGATTCTCTAGCTTCTAAATACTCTCTAACAATAAAATATCTGTTATCATCTTCTGTAAAACTATATTTAAGTCACAATGTTATCTGATTACAGAATAATATAATGCAGTTTTTGTGTAAGAGACTTACATTTTGTATGTGGGATGAGGTAAAGATGATTGTCAATTCCAACCAAGAGATCCCCTTGGGAACTGCAGAATGCAATACTGTGGATGGCTGCATTTAAACACAACAACCTGTCACAGTCAATGAAACAAGCAATTTGAAATGAATTTTAAAAAATGCATGGAGCAGCAGAAACTATATTTATTATTTGTATTAAGTATGCAAAGATATTTTCTTAGCTGTTTAGAAAAACATGCTTTACAACATATATGGTTGACATAATTATTATCTTCATTTAGTGTGTGCGTGTGTATGTGTGTGCATGTATGTGTATGTGGAGAGAGAGAGAGAGAGAGATAACCACAGTGAGTAATGGATAGTACACGTGCCTATAATTCACATTTGATTTTTAAATTCTTCTCTTCTTCTTAACGTTCATCATCATCACCATCCTGTGTGTGCCGTTAGACATCACATAGGGCTCACATTCGATTCCTCCACTCTGATCTAATGCATGCAACTCGATTTCTGACAAGGAGTTCAGCCCAGCATTTTTAGCCTCTCATAATGTTCTTCTTAACGTTTCCCTTGGATGGCCTCTTTTTCTCAGACCACATAATATTATATCACAAGATTTGCTACTTTTTATTTTGAATGCACTGCCAGATGTCATCACTTATCCATGGATGACGTCCACTGGCTGTAAACTTCAGCAGAAAGTTCTGGTTGTTTATTCACTTCTGAACTTTAGACTTGCTCCGGCACTTGAATTTTTCACCCATATCGGTTTTACAGATCTGGCTTATTTGAATGCAGACTAGATTCCTCACTGCTTAGGGAGGTGCACTTCTTCAGAGTATTTTCATAACCATTTTTGGACCTTGGAAAAAATTATCCAAAGAAAATTCACTCCACACAACCTGCAAAGTGATACATACCAGTGAAAGAAACATGTCCGTCTTCACTTTTTTTTTAAATTGTGAAAATCTGATATAACTAGAATGCCTTTTTACTGAAATCAGAAGGGCAAAAGAGGGTGGTCTTAAGCCATATGGATAAGAGAAATATACATGGATATGAAAATTATGGAGATATGACAAAAAGTGAGGTTAAGGAGATGACAAAAGATTGAATACACAGCATAAGTTGGGTGAGGACCTTTGCTCCAGAAGTGTACATAGGGCGCAAAAACAAGAGAATGTTAACATAATGACTCAATCTATTAAAAAAAACTACATATAAGAAAAACCACAAAAGGTGAAATTAAAAGTTTATACATTTAACTACTATCTTTAGCAAGAAATAAAGTATTACTAACCTAATCAATGTATTATTCTCACTCCAGATACGAACAGTGCCATCTATGCTGCTTGAAGCATATAATTTCATACGAGGACATGATGACAGGCCAGTTATACGATCCATGTGGTCATCATCTGGCTTGTGGTCAAAACGATCTGAAGAACAAACAGACTGTACAAATGATCGAACAAACAAACTTTATTTTCAAAAGGTTACAAATTGGCCACCCAGGCCTGTCTGTACTTTTTGTGCTTTTGTGTGTGTTTGAACTCCAAGTTAAATGGCTGCCAATTAAAATACCTAATGTTTTGTTTACAGCTACACACACATGCACATACAGATATGCACACACACAGATACACACTCAGATACACACACAGACGCACACATACATACATAAGGAGAACTGTTGTCAGCTGAACCAGGTTTGAGCATAAGATAAACTTTAGTAATTTTAAATGCTGATCGAAAGTAGTTCTTAGCAAGGCATTGATTATATATGAATGTTAAGGAATCACTAATGACTGGTGCAGCACATCGAAGAATTTGATTACTGATTTCATTTAAGCGAGAGGAGTTTGCTTGAGGTTGGAGAGATATTTATACACTTCAGCAACAGACAAAGTGGGAATCTTAGAAGGAATAGTCATAGTGCAGAATGATGCTAGCAGACTTAAGTCACACAGTGAGTCTGGTATCAAGTTTGGTGGTTGATTTATCGACATGAAGCACAACAATTCTCTCCCCATTCACAAAAACACTATGTCCACAAGCAGTGCTACACTTCAACTATACATTAAAGTCATATTGGATAAATTGAAAATGTCAAAGACTCTGACCAGCTTGGTTGCACCATAAAAAATTGGTACTTTTCAAGAGGTTAGAAAAAGACTAGCCATAGTAATGCAGAATGTATACAGCTGAAGATTTTGAGAACATGCATAATTCCTGGGGCAATAAATAGATGTGAAATCAAAATGAGCAAACCAAAGAGGCAGCTGCAAAGGTTAAATTATATATATGTGGATATATACAGACACACACTCTGGAAAAAAAAGAATAGTTAGGCATGTGTGGTTCTGGTACATATTTGGATCCTCTCTGGTTCTATGAAGTTAATGTAATGTGCTAAGATTCTTCATGTGTGATCTGGGAGGTGACAAACTTTGATAGAGATGTCTGTATGCTTTGAAAATGATCCTTTACCCAATCAAACAGTCAGTAGAGTAAGAAAAACAAAATGCTTATTGATTAATTAACAAAAGAAGCCTCTCAGGAGCTAAACCGAAAATATTCTGAAGTCACTGCATAAAAATACTTTTTAAAAATGTGTCAAGAGGTTGCCAGAAAATTAGAGTAGTTTGTGCAATGCATATACCATTAAGGTAACTAAACTTCATTTCCCTTTCTGATGATTGTGCCCAAAGGATTGATCTCTTTTGAGGGGATAACTAGATCTCTTTGTGAGTTAATTATCAAGTCAAGTCATCATTTTTTAAATCTCTTAGATGTTCTCAATATTCTTCAATAAAATCACATATCAGCATCTTCAGCAAACATACCTCACTGTGAATTGCTGCCATTGTCTGGGCTATTTTATATACAGTTTCAAAATGTTCTTAGTCACAGATATTGTTTTTCATCAGTAACTTTCTAGTTCATTTCTAAAATGATGAAAAGGCAAATAATGAGGAAACATTTAAATTTCAAGATAACTATTTAAACATATATTTAGACTTGTATTCCAGACGCTGTGTGCAAACCAAACAAATGTGTTTCAACATTTTCTTGTTGTTTGCTCTGGTGGCATATTTAAATTTCCTTTACTTGCAGTAATTAAAATAATAAAAACAATTTTAAGTAACATATAAATGAATGGTTCTGTTTGACCTACTTCTGTCTGCTAAACTGTAGAGCACAACGCTGAATGTTGCTGTAGCTAAGTCTTGAAACGCTATGCCTAAACTGATGTTGATGGTCGTCATAAATGAAGGACATTGGGCACAGTAAAAAGACATCAGTGGGGTGAAGGCTTCATGTGCAAAGGGATACACACGCCAGACTTTGATGATGTTATCTGTCAACAGTGATAACAAGACTACTCAATATGAGATGAAACAAAATATCTATTTGTGTGGGTTTTTCCTAAATCCCCAGTTCATTATAGTTCACACAGATTTATCAAGTGTGGTTGTTTATACATCATCATTGTGTTCACAAAATGCTTTTCATGCTGGCTTGTTCAGAATTGAACAGGCAAATATACTGGCCAGTTCTGCACCATTTCATGGTGAACTGATGTATTAGATTGGCCAGTTCTGCACCATTTCATGGTGAACTGATGTATTAGATTGGCCAGTTCTGCACCATTTCATGGTGAACTGATGTATCAGACTGGCCAGTTCTGCACCATTTCATGGTGAACTGATGTATGACTAGCCCTTTAGAAGCGAGTCAACAGTGTGGAGGCACAAATAGATCATTATGGTCTGAGAAGAACTGTATTGCGGGGAGCTACCAGGGGATCTGACAGATGCAAAACACTCAAGGGAAGGGTGAGATGAAAATACAATTAGACAGTTACTGGTACCATCGGAATTGGAACTCTTCGCTTGCTACTGAAGATGGGGACAGAGCGCTTATGAGTGCTATGATGCCGATTCTTGATTCAACATTCTACTGACATGAGCAGGATACAGAGGTGGTGAAATACACATGGTGGTGCATTAGAACTCGAGTTGGAACTGGTCACGACCTATCTTAACCTCTCCGTGATAATCTTTTTTATCAACCTCTCCGTGTTCATCCAGCCAGAAGCATTGCCGATGTAGATACGATTGATATTTTGACATGTGAACGTATGCCAAATCTAATTGTATTTTCCAATTTAAATGCACCTGTAATGCTGCATGTGTGGGCAGACAGATCAACGACTGGAAAAACAGGTTGCTAAACATATTCCACTATGTGTGCTAAAAGTAGCGCAAAACACTAACAGCAATGAATCAGGTGGCTGGTTGAAAAAATCTACCATCAGCCGTAGCGAATTCTGGGCACATTTTAGTAAAGGAAGATGCATTTCAAATTATTTACATTTCAGCCAACCATAGTTTACTTAGATTTGTGGAAGCGGTCGCTATAAACTAGTTTAGTCCAGAATTATGCAGACAAAAGAACAAGCTCTTCACCTTGCGTTTACACTGGTGAAACAAACAGTTTTTGAATGTAGTCAAATTCTGTGTTTCCGTCCAAAAGATTCATTTATTTGCTTCATTTTAACCAGTTGTTACTGTAGTATGCACCTGATGAGATACAGCTAAATATGCCAGGCGATAAATTATGCAATCTATTGTTTGTGTCTTCTTTGTTCATATTAAAATATTGTTAAAAGAGAAGACAACCAAAGCGACCTGCATTGTTTTTTTAGTTGAATTTAGTTTTAAATGCTTTTACAACTTTAATTATTCATAAAATATAAAATTTAAAATTTCGGAACCCTAATTCCAGTGGTATCTCTATTCATCATCATGTGCCCTGCCAACTGGCGTAGGCGCTCGTGCATCTCCACAGATCACAATTCCTAGTTGCCTGGAACAGCAATCTTGATGATATCCCTCCACGCCATCGTTTCAGCCCATCCAGCATCATCCCTTTTGATCTGTCTCTACCCCTTTTTCCACTGATCTTTCCAGTTGTCAAGATGTTCTCCAATGTCTCTCTTCTCCTTATGTGGCCAAAGAACAGTGTTTGTCTCTTTCTTATTGTTGTATATAGAAAGGTATCTCTATTACAGTTTCAAAATTAACAAGTGATTATTTGTCAACTGAAATTTTTTTTTAATAAACATTAAAATTTGTTTGCAGCTATTTTAGAAGCTAGTATATCGGATTTCCTATAGTCTATGGTGTTTTGAAAACTAGCATATCAGATCCTTCATTTTTTTAAAACCAGCATATCAGATCTTTTATTGCTAATATTTAAAAAATTAGTAAATCAGATTCTTTATCGCCATTATTTTGAAAACTAGCAAATCAGATCCTTTTTTGCTATTATGTTGAAAACTAGCATATCAAATTCTTGATTTTTTTTAATTTAAAAAATATATCATATCAGATCCTCTTTTTTTTTTTTTTTAAACTAGCAAATCGCATCTTTTATTGCTATTATTTTGAAATGTGGCCTATAAGATCCTTTGTGCATTTTGTGTGTGTGCACACACATGTTTTAAAAACTTACATATCGGATTCCCAATTGATGTTTTCTTTGCCTTCTTCTTAGCGTTCACCAGCTGTAAACTCAGGCAGAAAATTATGGTTGCTCATCCACTTTTGGACTTGAGCCTTGTTCCAGAACTAAGGTTTTGCATGCACATCTGTTTTACAGATTTGGCATATTTGTATGCCTATTGATGATTCTTCATCTCTCTGGCAGATGCACTCAAACTTCTAAGGAAACACCCTTAATTAGTCACCTTTTACGACATTTGTTAGAGAAGGGATTTTCCTCCCTCTGAAATTGAGACCAGGAACACACACACAGGGAATCGGTATTTTCATCTTCTTCTTCTTTGTGTTCACCAGCTGTAAACTCTGGTGGAAAGTTCTGGTTGTTCATCCACTTCTGGACTGCAGTCCTGTTACAGAACCTGAGTGTTGCATTTGCATCCATTTTACAGACCTGATTCATATGTATGCAGACTGCTGGTCCTTTGCCTCTCAGGCAGATGCACTCTGACTTCCTAGTAACCTCCCAATTAGTCGACTCTTACGACATGCTTTTGGGGTAGGCATTGGGTCTATTCTTGTTTTCCCTATAAAGGGCCCCGGAACCCACACAGGGAGGAATCAGTATTTTGAAAATAACCAATAGTTTGTTGGAAATTTATCAGATTTATCATTGCTTTTAGACCTAACTTTATCAAAACAGGGTCTATTTAAACTTGTAAGGTTTCCTTATGTATCAGCCAATCATGTTACAGTTATCTGTCTTTATGCACTGCAGGCATATACACTATCTAGCAAACTTGATTCATTATGCACTGAACAAATTATATTAAATTTAAACAGTTATTCCATATACATTATCTCTTTCATGTTTGTTTATTTGTTCGCATTCACCGGCTGTAAACCCCGGTGGAAAGAACTGTTTGTTTGTCCATTTCTGAACTTTGACTTTGTTCCAGGACCTGAGTTTTTAAGTAAGCATCTGCTTTACAGATAATGCTTATTTGTATGCAGACTGTTGGTTCCTTTCCTCTCAGGCAGTTGTACTCCAACTTTGAAGGAAGCCCCCAGTTATTTGACTCTTATGATATGCTTGCTGAGGAGGCAGTGGGTCTATTCTTGTTTTCCCTACAATGGGACTCCAGAACCCACACGGGAAATCCCTTTCTTAACTTACATAGACAGTTGAAACATTTATAACCTGATTGTTTGAAATATACCTCTAAATGATTTTTCAGTCTGTTATTTAGTAAAGGTAAATTTCCATGCCCGGAAGTGTACAGTGTATATGGTGCCAGCAGCACAGTTTGAATGTCAGTCAGCACTCAAGGAACTATGTAAATGTCACACTGACTACCTTTGTTTCTGGAAGCCGGAGTAGTGTAGAGGCTAGACATTCTCCTCCAGACCTGAATATGCATAGAATTTTTTAATTGACCCAGTTAAGCTCAGCCTAGAATGAGTACCAGGTAATATCGTGTAAAAGCAATAGTGGCCTAACTTATATTGATTGCATCACTCACTTGGTGCCTACTGTCTACACAAAGACAGGTATAACTCTATATGTTCAATGTGCTAGAGGTGCGAAAACAGACCTTAACCAATTGTTCCCTTTTTTGAACTCTCAATTTGTATTTTCCACAACATTTCCTTGTTTAACCTGGAAATCCAGGTCAGTTTTTAAAATATGCTTTGACAAGAATTCAAATCAATGACTACCTGGCCTGCAGGCAAGCAAGCTATGCTATCCATGTTGTTATTATTATCCAAACATTTAATACTTTCAAGCAGATATTTTTTTTTGGCTGGAAAAGAAATGAAACAATAAGGTTCATAAAGAGTTCAACAAAATGACAAGAAAAAGAAAAATACTAACCCATTCCTGCAGAAATGAGCTGATCAGATTTGGTGTTAGCTACCATGCTAAGTACACCTTTACTGCCATGGGCCTAATGCAGAAACAGGGTTAACAAGGGGGTGAAACAAGTGCATTACAAATTGCGAAAAGAATAATATATTATCATCATGACATGTCTTGCCACCAGCAAATGTGATCATGTATCTACACAACTCTCATTCTCTAGCAGTATATGCTATCTCATGAGGTTTCTATGATAAATGCTGGGAACAGTTTGGGTGGTCAGTAGCTAGTAATGATTACTTGGGGAGAAAAAACCTTTGACAGTAGAACATTAAAAGTAGAACATTACTGGTGTCATGGATTACTGGATAACTGTGTGACTGTGGGACATTTTAGTTAAGTGACATAAGATAATGACTGTGTAGTATTAGTTTGAAAGGTGTATGTTTGTCCTTAGGTGTCCATCCCTGCAGCAGCAAATGAAGGTGGAATGAAATAGTGATGATCAGAAAGAGGGAGGAAAGACAAGGACCGACAGAAATTTATTTTTCTTACTTTTTTCAGACTGTTCAAATGGACTAAACTCAAAACAACTGCAACAACGACTTGAGGAATGTTTTGAGGTCTTTATTTAATTCCTTCAGGCAGTTTGATTATTATTTTAAATTATTTTTGTTATAGTTCTGACAGCTCTTGCCAAAATAGGACAACATACAACAATACAATAAAAACAGTATTCTTTGGTCATGTGATGTAACATGAGGCCTTGAAGAAAGTAAGATTTACCCCACCAGGACATCACTACGAGCGACAAACACTCAGTGACACAAAGTGCCACCATTCAGATGAGGATCACCCGTGGAGAGGTCATTATATTAGGGCTCCCGGCAACAGCCAGGACGGGGCTTTAAAATAACGAAAATTTGCATCCCACATGGGGATGACAAAGGTATTAAAAAGCCTTGAAGAACATTGTGATAAACAGAAGGTCAATGGTAGAGAAAGCTGAAGAACCTAAAAAACATTATTCTAGACATTTTAAGATTGAGGCATGAAGGAATATTATCAACAGAATTGATCCTGAGCATCAAAATATATAATCTGAACACCTTTACCATCTGGCAAGTCCGATGATTCTGATATCTTACCTGCCATGATGGAAAGCTGTCAACAATTTTCATTCACTGGATCACCCGTGGAGAGGTCCCGGAAACGACATTCAGCCATTAGGCCCTATTGACAGGGTGAGGGCTTCATTATACTGAAAAATTGCATCCCACGATGGGATGACTAGTGGTAATATATTTCCCTTTGCAAATAATTTTACCAGTTATATATGTTCTAGTTCATTTCCTTAATATGCCAATAAATGTTGACTCCACCTTCTGACAGTTGGGTCAAATCTTGACATTCCTCTTCAAAAAACATGCATGAAAGAATAAACTGAGCTGTTGATGTCAAACCTCTTCTAATTCACATGCAATTTTCAAAAAGATTATCATAGCATCACCAAAATGTGTATGATTATAGCTAACTTACCTCAACTTTGAAAGGGACTTCCCCTGTTAGCCAGTCAATTAGACAAATATAACCATCTTTTCGACCACCAAGCAGAAGAGTTCTGTTTTTGCTAGGCTTTCCTCTAAGAACCTTCGCTTTATTTCTTTGAGCTGTATGTTTTGCTAAGGTAAAAATATCACTTCTACCAGAAAGATCCACTAAATACTCATACACCAGCAGACAATTGCATATTCCTGCAAAAACATGTTCAAACAACAGATAGTTATATATTTTAAAAAATACAACAACAACAAAAGTGTAAAAATTAATATTTTAAAATTAAAATGTATGTTGTATTTTTTTTTTTTTTTTTGCTAACTGCTTTATCAAGCGACACATATTTGTTCTGGCTCTTGTTAAAGGTTATTCCTATTTTTATAAGTTATTTTCTACTTTGAGCATCTGACACAGCATGTTCTTGGACTGAAAAAAGTAACGGGGAAATAAGATGGAAGACAGGGGAAGTAACTGCTACCCTTGTGCCCTTTGTTTTAAAATTGGCACTCTGAGTACTGAAAGTCATCCTGAGCGTTATAACGGTCTGGCATGTCATTTTTCTTCTGTCATCCTTTATTCCCTAATGAAGCATAGGCCCTCAACCAACTTATGCCAAGCAATCCTATTTTTTGCTATCCCTTGCAACTCACACCCAATCTTCACTCTCTAGTTCCCTACTTCCTTTCTGGGTCTGTGATTGTGGGTTCCAGTGTAAAGACATTCTAGTTATTTTGTTCTCAGATTTTCTCAATGTGTATCCTATCCAAAGCCAGTATATGTGTCCTATGCCTTTTAATTTGCTCAAGCCCCTTATCTCTAAAATCTGGTTAATCTGGTTATGATTATGATGGCAGCCTAGGTTGCAATCATTAGTCCTGTGTTCACAATTCAGTTCCTGGACACAGAACACTTAAAACCCTCTAGATGAGACAGCTGGTGTTCCCATCTTACCTGTAAGAACCTGTTATAATAACAACACTGACATTTGTTTACAGGACCACACTTTCAAACCAACACCAGATGGATACCTTCAGAGTTACTGCCCTTCCATCTAGAAACAATGTCACATGGGTTCTTATTGGTCAGACCTTTCACAATGTCACCATTAGACATCACTGCAAAGATTGTATCTGCAACAATGCAAAAATAAATATAGAGGTTGCAGAATTAAAGCTTCAGGATACATGTTATAAAAAGCAGCCATGTGACAACTACAGTTCAAAAAGGATACTATCAAACCGCAAAGGAACAAGGAGGCAAATAAAGCCAAGCCTTTGTGGCAGGTTGAAGCAGTCCGAGTTTTTTTTTTTGGTAACAAATATATATATATTTTTATTTCAAGTCAAGTCAAGTCAACTACAGTTTCAAACATTAAATGAAATTACCAACTTGTTATAATTATTTTATGTGAGAACAATGTCATTCAACATGTACAAAGCCTATGAGCTCTCATGGATCTGGTTCCTAGTTCTGTCCCCATGTGAGAGGCAATTTTTCATTTTTTGAAGTCCCACCTCGGCTGTTGCTAGGGGCCCTAAAGGCCATAATATAGCGCAACCAGGGTTTCTGGGACCTATCCCCAGGTGATCCTCCTCCAAATGGTGGCACTCTGTGTCACCAGGTGTTTATTGCTCGGTGGATGTCCTGGTTGGGTTAAAGGTCAGTCAGTCATTGTTATGGTTCAAGGAAGAACTGTAAAAGAAGCTAGCAGTGGGGTTTTTTGTGTGTGTGTGTGGCCTCAACTACAAGTAGCAGTCTTACTAGGAGGTGATAAAAGTAAGGATGTGGCAAGAGATACATAATTTTTTACATACTAGCTTTCTAAGTGAATCATAATCATTCTTAACAAGATCGAGACTGGGTGGGTTCAAAGGCAATGGTTGGAGTCTCTAGGGAAATCTTGTCTGACAGAAATCAGTTTTATTTTTGTAGCAGGACACTCTGTGGTAAGAGGGAAAAACAAGTGGACTGGCTTGCTTGTAGGGACACAGCAGGTACAGGACAAGAAATAAACCATGCCGATGTTCTAAAGGAGGCAAGAAAAGTCGATAACTCAGGAAACGACTCTTAATCAGCAACATTAAAATACTACAATAACACCAGGTCAAAAGAGGCCTTGCCAGACAAGAACACTATACAGGTAGCTAAAGAAGAATAGTAAACCAACAAAGAACTGGTGTTATAACAGTCAACACATGCTGAGGGATTTACTAAAGATGGGATTTGAACACTCATGGACTTGTCTGATGTGTGATGAAGATAATCAGTTAACTAACTAAAATACCTTCAGCAATGGCATAAGCAGCATCTATTAATCCTTCTGACTGCTTCAAAAGCATGGTAGTTATAACTTCACCATTTGGAGGACAAATGATGCGAATGCTAGAGTCTCGACACAGAACTACTGCTCGCTGGGGTAATAATGGATGACTGGTCACTTTTATGCTGTTAACTTTGTACCTACAAAATAATTAAAATAATTAATATAATTAACAAAAACTTTATTATTTCCTTTGTGTTTTAACATAAATTACACAACTGAAATAAAATTAATTGTCCGCTCCTAGGAAAGTGACTGCAGTTTTCAAGAATAAAGCTGTGGTGTCCGCATTGAGACATGAATTACCAATCCAAACTATTTTCTGTGTAACAGATTAAGGGTGAGAGCACTGACCTGATATTCTAGGCCCATGCAGCACAATAATGGTTACTAAATAACTGAAGACAGTTAATGTGATCTGAGTTGCAGTCATAAAACTAAACTCTTTAGCTTTTGAAGAAAACAAGACAACTGTCTTGACTTGAGGCATGTTTGGTAAATGGTATTAGACACCTTTTTCTTTAGGCCAATGGATATCAACATATAAAATAATTAGTGATACACCAGCCATCTTTATTTCCGAGGACATTTCCTCATACACATTTGAAGCTTGGTCAAGCTGGAAGCCCAGGAAAATTTTTTTTTTTAAATCCTTGTCTTGATGAAGGTTTGAATGCCTGACCACGTATGTGATCAAAAGACTAAAACATGTCAGTCCCTATACTGGATGGCTGTTAGGGTGCATAGGGTCCATTATTTATACCCCAAAATGTTGGCCCAAAACCCACAAGCAGAGAGAAAGAGTTTGGGATTATAGTAATGTACACATCTTCTGGTTATACTCTGAATCTTAGGAGACAATCATCATCCTGCTGATCCATTATACATAACATATGATTAGCAGTCTAGTCCTCCATTATGTCTTATCCCATGCAATCATTTCAAAATCATGGATGGGATTCAGTACAGCTCCGTTTGCATTTTTTTTTTTCAAATCAAAGTTTGTTTTATGGTTTTCTTCTTCTACTTTATTCAGTGGCTGTAAGCTCGGGCAGAAAGTCCTGGCTGTTTATCTATGTGGACTCTTTCTTTGTGCCAGGGTCTGAGTTTTGTGTGTACGTCCATTTTACTGGTTTCTTTGTGTGCACTTGGTTGTTCCTTGCCACTTGGGCAGATGCACTCCAGCTTTTAAGGAAGTCCCCAATTAGTTGACTCCTGTGTTTGTGGGGAGACAGTCGGTCAATTTTTGTTTTCCTTCACAATGAGGCCCCAGAACCTACATAGGGAATTTTACTTCTCCTTAGAATGTGCCCAATTTAGAGTCATCTTCTTTGTCTTATGACTCTTAATATGAGTGGGTGTTCAAACACTCAAGAAATAATCAACAAATAGTTTATTATCTCTGTGCCTTGCATGTCTGATGATGATGTTATGAATTTTCTTCAAAACCAAGGAAGCTGGGATTTAATTCACTTAGCCGTGACTGAAACAAATGAACACAACAGAAACAATGACTGGTTCTATGTTTCCCTTTCAGAGACATTTCAGTTAAATTATTCTGAATATTTCTATTCAGTTATAGTAACTTTTCCCTCATAGAAAGAAAGTGACTTCCCATTCAATTCATGCCTCATCATGTCACTGGGCCTATCTTAAGTTGCAGGGTGTCATGCTTAGTGACCGGCTAGCAACGCAAAGTATTTTACTCCTTGTTGTCTATATTCCATGATGCAAGCGCTTTAAACTGTCCAAAAACATGTAGAACTGGCCCTAACCCCAACCACCCTACCCCACAGCCTCAGCCTATGTCTCACAAGAGAGTGCAGCCTAGGGTGGTTGGGTTTAGGGCCAGTTCTACATGTTTTGTGACCGTTAAAAGCACTCGCATCATGGAATATAGAACACAAGATATCGCCGGCAGCTGACAACAACAAGTAAAATACTACATATGTGTTGGATGGTCACTTAGCATGACACCTCCACAATATAGGACAGGCCCTGGGACAGTAAGAGGCATGAATGGGAAGGGAAGTCACTCTTTTTCTAGGCTAGAAAACCTTACAAGCATCTTCTTATTCGTATTTGTGGTACTGTTTATTCACATAATGTGCTGATGAAGGTTTTCTAGCTGCAAAATTCACTTGTCATTTGTGTTTGAAATCTTTTCATGATGATGTTACCTATGACTAGTAAGCTCAATGAAGGGAAAGATAAAGATGATACAAAAGAATGTTCTGATCAAAGTCTTTATCAATGAACAGAACACCATGTATCATTAACTAAAGTGAACAAGAACGAAAATGCCCCCTGGCGGTTGAAGGACCCCCTTGTAGGGAAAACAAGAATAAACCTACTGCGTCACCAACAAGCATGTCCTAAGAGTCAACTAATTTGGGGTTTCATTCGAAGTCTGAGTGCATCTGCTTGAGAGGCAAGCAGCCAAAAATTTTCAGCCAGAGTTCACAGCCGGTGAATGCAAATTAGAAGAAGAAGAATGAAAACATAAGAATTATTTACATAATTAAATGAGAAATTATGTTTTTAAACACAAAGTATTTTACGAGGCACATTTTTTAAAGTAAGTCCCGGTATTTTAAAAAAAATTTTGTAAACCATTATATACAACAATAATTTATTGCAGTCAAAATTGAACCACACATTTATATTATTTCTCAACATAGTCACCATTGACTTCAACACATTTTTGGTATCGTAGCACAGGTGCTTAATTCAAGTGTTATAGAAGTCTGCCACCATTGTCTTGAAACATTCATTAACACCTGTCTGCACTTTATCATCAGTTTCAAACCGCTGGGATGCCAGCCACTTCTTTAGGTGCATGATAGGATGGTAATCACTTGGCACCAGATCAGGGCTGCTTTGGTGGGTGGTCAAGAATTTCCCAGTGAAATGTTTACAGCAATGGAACAGTTCCATCTTCGACGTGATGTCGAGCATTATCGTGCAAAAGCACAATTCAAGAGGACAGCAGCACACCTCTTTTGTTTTGGATGTCAAAAAAAAATTTTTAATCAAGGTTTCTTTTCACAATGTAGTAAATCAAGTGAAACTTCTGAAAATTCAACAGATAACGCAGAAATTGTGAACCAATTATTTTTCTGAATTTTGTGGTTCACTTTTTCAACCAAAACGTCTGTCACCACACTCAGCCGACCGCTACGATCTTCATTATAGATAGTTGTTCACCCTTCTTTAAACATTCGACACTATTTCCTAACTATACTATCAGTCATAACAGCTGGCCCATAAACCTCAATGAGTTGCCAGTGAATTTCTACAGCACTGTTGTTTTTTTGCTTACAAATCGAACCACAGCACGAACTTCGCTGCTGACAAGGGTATTTATTTTTTGCGCTCCTACCACATAAACGTACTGCATATGCAAATTTACGTTTCCTACTGATGTTTGTTGGTGCTGTCAAAATGGGACTTACTTAAAAAATGTCCGTCATAAATGAAATATTTCAAGTTCAAAAACTAAAAGATTAAGAAAATATAAGCATGTAAAACTCACCCGATGTGTGTGTGGATGTAATACAGATGCTGTAATTTCCACAAATCCACTCTGTTGCTAGAAAAAGTGTAGAAAATGTCATTGTCCATCTGTGTGTCTATTCCTTCGATAGGATCATCAATCAAAACCCTGACGAATGAGATATTTATGCATATCATTATTTTGTAAATAAACTGTCATAACTGTAATGATCTTGATAAGAGTTAAATTGGAAATAGCGGACTGAATATATAAAGCCAATATTGCAGGTCGGAATATTAAGACATAAATAGTGAAAATGTGTTGTGAGGGACAGTTTTAGGGATGAATTTGGGAGAATGGACAACAATATGATGGATGACAGTTGACAATGGGAATGTAAAAAAGGATAAAACTGTTATTACCGGTCTCTAACTGCAGATTGATATTAGTGTTGCAATCAACTATAAGTGAAGCCAATGCTCATCAATGGAGATCTATATATGTGTGCTGTAAGTCGAGAGCATTGTGAAAACTTGCCAGAAACAAATGAGCCAAATGACGAGCCCTAGGAGGTTGGAGGTCCATGACACCACTTCCCAAAACAGTGGTAAATGCAACAGGTATTACCTCTTCTGGTGCCAAACTTCTCACTTAATGTTTTGTAGTCATTCCAAAAGTAATATGATATTATTGATGTCTTCTATCACAGACTGAAGTTATGCTAGCAACTCATTTGTGAATTATTAGTTTAACTACTTCAATAGTGCTTCTGTTAAACTCTTTCTTTCCCGTGTGGATTCCCGAGCCCCACTGTGAGGAAAACTAGAAAAAAAAGCCTGTACACGTTAGAGAATGAGCTTCCTTCAAAGTTGGATTGCATCTGCCCGAGGGGCAAGGTACAACCAGCTGCACTCAAATAAGCCAGTAAAACAGGATCTGCATGCAAGATCCTGGCACAAAGCCAAAGTCCAAATGGAGGATCAACAGGACTTTCCACTGTGAACAAAGAAGAAGAACGCATTCTGACTTGAATATTTTTTAAATTAAACTCCCATCACTGACACAGGCGAGGTTTGGTAAATAATTGCTTGGGACTCAAAGAAGTAAAGACCTATAATTATATTATGCTATGTTATGTTATCAAAACTGTTATCACTGAAAACGGTTCTCTCAAAAGTACTCAGTCCTGTGATACATGAGTCATGCTAAGATCCTTTTTTTTATTCTTTCAGAATAAGGTGCAAGAACAAGCTCTGATAAATTTACTTATAAGTACTTTTTTATTTTTGTAAACTCTAGGTGGCACTGTTTAGAGGCGATGCTGGACTGTTTGATCAAGAAGTAATAATTAGGTTTAGGGCAAAGCCCTAATTCTTATCAGCCTGCACAAAGTACACAAGTTTTGGATATAGATTTTACAGTTATCTGTCAGTATTTCAGAAGTTAATAATTCCAATAAGAAGAGATTAATAAGCTTTATTCTGATTCGAATCCACAACTTTCATATCCACAGGCGAGTGTCTAGCCGATACAACATGGCAGGTTCCATTATTGTTAATGGCTGACAATTAGTTTTTTAATTATTATTTTCTGAACTACTGACAAATAACTGAACTACCTATACCGACAATTTGTGTGTTTTTTGCTAATCTGTCATCTGGCCACTGTATTATTAAGTGTTTTGGTTTGGCTGCACTGCGAAATATATCTGGCAGGCTGATGAAGGTTGTAAAAAGCCTTGTGCAGCACGCAAAGGTTCTCTCTTGGATCACTAAAATTTAGTGCTGACTTTTTGTTACTGCATAGATGCTCATGATTTTTAAGGCTACGTGGGTTCAGGGGACTGATCAGAGATAGACGGACTGGCTCACTGATTTCATGGTGGTTGTACATTCAATAGTTAAATGGTGTTAGATCTAAATTTCCTCCAGTAGTTAAACTGTGTTAGACATAAATATATCAATGTGTATCATCGCTCAGAGATATTTGATTTCAAGTTGCTGAAAGCTACTTTCATCTTTATTAGCTGAAGTGCTTAGCACATGGTCTGTGTGAACATGATTTTGATTGTTAATGAATTTTTACCTGTAAAGCAAATTAGTTCTGTGTTCAGGAAAGAAACAGATGTGGAATGTGATGGTCATAATCATTTGTTTGATTCAAGAAAGAACTTGTAGTTCATATACATGATCTGACTAGGCGTTGCCTTTGTAGTCATTTATTTTTGTTGTGTAACTTGTTGCCTTTGTAGTCATTTATTGTTGTTGTTTAAATCATTATACACATATTCACTGCCTGGGCTGTGGACAACATTCATTGTCCCTGCAAAGAAGAATCCTTGTCTTTTCTGTGCTTTTCCTGTTTTTGCAGTTCAGCGGGGAATTACTTATTGTTCTAACCACAATTCTCTACTCCTCTACCTACTTCTTATTTTTTTTTTCTTTTTCCTCTTCCTGCTAGCTCGTTTAGATAACGTTTGTTCACCTTAAAAATCTTTTTGAATGCTTTTGGACTGTATATCATAAATTAACAAGTAGGCCTAAGTGAAACATGCTTGTTAACATGATAGTCTTTGACTTATGCATGATCTTTTGTTACACAGCCATTTTATTACTGATCACACAATTTCAAGTTTTTAATGTCTGTCTTTACTGTTTAATCTGAAATGCAAGAAAACAAATCTGAACCTGCTTAAGTGGCCATGTTATTTTTGCTTTGCTGCAGCGTGATTTAAGAACTGAGTATAAAAAGTTTGCTGTCAAAGATTACTAGATGAAACTTTCCAAATATATGTTAAAATTATTGCTAAATTTAATTTTACAGGAATTTAAGAGTAAATCTTAGCTTGACAAAAAAATTTATTAAATGGTCTATTTACCTCACAGAAGACTAATTTAAAGTGCCAACGCACTCACAATATTACCACCAATGGGATTTATGTATTTGACTAGGTATTCAGGGAAAACAAATTAGGGATCTATACTGCTCATAATATGATCTTTTAATAATCACAAATTTTTATCCTATACATCATAAAGAGGTCATTAGAGAGATGTCCTTAATATGTATTTCCATCAGATTAATTTTGGAACACATTTTTCAATTAATAAATTAGAAATCACATAACTTCTAGTTTAATAAAAGAGGTGTGTCATTTAAGTAGCTAACAACAATAAACAGATGAATAATGATAAATGTTTCATAGTGATATGTAGTTTGAGGAAGTTCAAACAATGAAATATGTAACTACTAGAGGGGACATAAGGCAACATATGTCAGGGTATACACAAGTGGGTTGAGTACACTGTATTTTAGGCAGGAAAGTCTAGTAGAGTGCATTTTAAGTTACACATTGATTTTTAGCATTTTCCTTCACATTTTACCCTTTGGCTGGAGTAAAGTAATAATTATGTTGATACTTGATGGCAGTTGGGTAAAAATAGTGTAGGACATATGGTAATGAGAAAATCCTTTAGGAGTATATTATGAATGTTGTGAACAATGTGTTTTGTTTGATTACTAGTGTGGTGATGCTAGATAGGGAAAAGTATAAGTTAACTAAACCTACAAGGTTTATTCAACAGAGCATCTTCCAAGAGAGACTTGCATACTGACTTTAGCATAACTTTCTTATTAAACCAAAATATTAGTTACTTCCATCATGCCATCTTATGGACACCAGAATGGAAAAGAAAACAGGGAAAGACAAGAGAGACCTTGCATAGAAACATCATCAGGAAAGGCTCAACCATGGGCAAAATGACATCCAAGACCTAAAACGGGTGGCTACGAACTGCCAGACATGGAGAGCTATGACTTCTGTTCTATGAACTGCCTTAGACTCAAGAGGAAAGACTAACTAATCCTTTCTTGTCAAAAAAAGACTAACTAACTAATCCTTACTTGTCAATCTCATCACTTGTGTCCATGTTCCACACCCTCAGTGTGCAGTCCAGAGATGCTGAAATAAATGCTGGCCCATGAGGGTAAATCTTCAGAAAGTTCACCTGTTCGCTGTGGCCAACAAAAACCATCCTAATTTTCCAGTCTGCATCCCATACCTTGACTAGATGGACAAATAGTAAGTCAGTTTCCTTGTTTATTTAAAGAAGGAGGTTGGCATTTGTAAAATAAACAAACAAACAAAAACACACACACACACAAAATGGTTGATACCACAAGTGCTCAGTTCTCTTAAAAGTTGTTGAAGGATACATGTTTCTGCAGTTTACTGGATTTATTTAGACAGGCCTATATTGTGTTTGATTAGTCATGCCTGGTCTGGAGTACAGACTGGTGATAAAACTCTGTTGTAACTGAATTAACCAGATGCAAACAGAGGGGAATGGAGAGTGAGAAGCAACAACAAAATTCACAATCTGTTTAAATCACCACTGATCCCTGACATCATGACAGCTAATAGACTGAAGTGGCTGGGGCATATTAAGAGAATGTCAGACAACAAAGATGTGGAAACTGCATACACGAGGGAGATGAATGGTCATAAACTACGAGGCAGACCAAGAAGACAATGGAGAGATTATGTCCAGACAGACCTGCAAACACTTGGTGTCACCAACTGGACAAAGAAGGCCAACCAAATAGATAAATAGAGGCAGGTGATATCTGCAGCAATGAACCTCAAGGGCTTGGAATGCTGAAGACGAAGTAGTAGTAGAAGAAGAAGAAGAAGAAGAAGAAGAAGAAGAAGAAGAAGAAGAAGAACAAGAACAAGAACAAGAACAAGAAAAAGAAGGAGAAGAAGAATTAAACAGAATATCTGTATTTCATATACTTAAAGTCAATGACTATACAAAAATAACAACTGTGGAGAATGCATCTTAGGTCATACATACTGCAGCCATCTCTTGCTGCAGTGATCACATATTTATAAGGGTTGAAAAATGTCATTGCTGTGAGTGGCTGGGAATGTAATGATTTCTTGTGAGCCACCTCAGTGCCACTAAAGATGTTGTAGACCTATAGAAAGATACACAAGCACAGCTGAATCAATAGTAACTATACTAGCCTACAATGTAACTGTGACTAAAATGTCTGCTTTAAATTTAAAAAAAAAATACTGTTATAATTAGTGACAGAAACTATTATATTTAACATAGATTGTAGCATGCAACCAATCATAAAATGTAACATTATAAAATTTATCAAAATTTAACAGGTATTAGAAATTGCAACATATGACAGATAATAATAATAATAATAATAACAATTATTATTATGATGGATGGACATACAGAGCACTGCTCTTCTGGTCTAGCAGTTTCTGTAGCATGCTTTGTTCTGGTACTGCTTTTCCTTTGCAGCAAACAAGACAGACCAAGAAGAGGAATCATAATACATAGGATAAACATATCTCTACAATACTGCCAAAGTGTAGAGCTATGGAGAAAAAGAAAAACTCCTCATCCCCATGAGCTTTGATTCCCATGCCTTCCAACTGCAAAATATAGCAGGGTCACCTAGAAAGACACCAACAGTTATAGATTATAGCATCATGCAGCACTGTGATTAGCATGTTTATATATATATATATAAACTTGTGCTCTCAACTCTTCTTAAAAAGCATATCTTAAAATGTTTTGAGGGGAAAAAAAGGCAGCCAGAATTAAATTCATGAAATTGTGCATCAAATATCAATTGATCTGCACATTTATTTGTTTCCTTTCATTCACTGGCTGTAAACCTGGCACAAAGTACCTGTTTTTGTTTTTTTTCCATTTCTGGACTTTGGCTGTGTTAAAGGACCTGAGTTTTGCATGTGCATACGTTGTACAAATTTGGCCCAACTGTATGCAGGCTGTTGGCTCCTTGCCTCTCGGGCAGATGACACCGACTTTAAAGGAATCCCCAGGTTAGTCGACGTCTATGACATGCTTGTTGGGGTGGCAGTGGGTCTCTTCTTGTTTCCCCCCACAATAGGAGCCAAGAACTCACACGTGGGATTGACATGTAAAAATATGGGGCTAGCACCATATACCCACTATACTTCAACGCATAACAATGGGTATGTACCTTTTTTTAATTTTATAACGTATAACAGATAATAACAGTGATCATATGTAAATATGATTATAAAATGTGCTGTATGATTTACTATTCTTTTAAAATATCAGGAAAGGAAACATTGATGGGGCCCACCAACATATTAAATAGAATACATAAACTAGTCTTGTGTGGGAAAATACTAAAAAAGAGAGGCACATAAAGGTAAAGAAAGATGAGCAGCTGAAAACTTAAATAGTTAGATCATGTATAATATTATAAGCAACTTCAATTAATTAAAATATCAAGTGACAGGGAGGATTGGCAAGTCGTTATCACCAACGCCTGTTGTTGATCAGGCAGATAAAAGGTAACATAGCATTGTTAAAAAAAATACATGATTGTAGTTTTGTAACTTCTTCATAATCGTTGTCATGTTCACCAACTGTAAACTCCTGCATAAAGTTTTGGTTGTTCAATCACTTCTAGACTTAGGCATTGTTCCAGGAATTGAGTGTTACATGTATATCCATTTTCCAGATCTGGCTTGTTTGCTTACATGTTGCAGATTCCATGCCTCTCAGGCAGATGCATTCTGACTTTAAAGGAAATGTACAACTATCTAGGTTGACCAGGCTCCTGACTGGGAACCTGTATCTAATATGACCAAATAGAGATGTAAATAGATCTTGACTGGTAAGAACCTTGGTCTTTCTGAACCAACGCATGTGATTCAGTATCTCTGCAACCAGTATTGTAACAGTTATTATAACAGCATTTAAAAATCAATTATATAAGCTAACTTACCACTACTCCATTTTCATAAGCAAAATAGATTTTCTGTGTTTGATCTGTTGCCTCTTCCAAAACCATGGTGATAAACATATTTGTTTCACCAAAGTCTGTAGTGGTTGTCTTTCTTGGGATTAGGTAGCGCGCTCCATAACGGAACATCCAAAACTTAAAAACAATCAGAAATATTAGTGTTCAAACTTAGTAAAATCTTCTTCCTCTTCTGCATTCGTATCTTAGTAAAATAATATCAGTAACAGAAACAAAATTTCACTTAAACAAAAACTGCAGCAAAATGGCATGAAAAGTTGTAGAAATTATTTTCCTTATTCTTCTTGCATTCTATCTAAGATATTCAACCCATTCATGGATACAGTGTATATTTGGTTGTAGCACAGTGTGTTTTTTTTTTTTGTACACAATGATCCAGGCAGCCGTCCTGATACACTAGCTAGATGCTCGCTTGCAGGTCCAAAGGTTGTGGTTTCAGGTCCAGACTTGTTTCAGAAATGACGTTGGCTGACAGGTCGACCCAGCCTTAAATGAGTACCAAGTAAAGCCCTAGAAAGTAAAGGTAGCTGTTTGGATGTTCACCACATCACCCACCAAGCTGGTCTATAAAATATAGGCCTGAAGGCATGGAAATGGGTCATTTACTTTACTTTATTTTTTACACAGTGGTACTCTGTACCCACATCTCTTTTGTTTAAAAAATAATTATTTCAGTGATTATACAACAATTTTGCCAAACTGGCACGTACAACGAATCAAAATGTTCTTTTTTGCAATTTTCGATTTTAAAATAATTTTTATTTTCACTGGCAAAAAAACTAATCTCTGAAGTAGCAAGAGTGGATATCTGCTTCTTCGTCTTCTTAGCGATCACCTGTTGTAAATTCTGATCCATTGTTCTGGTTGTTCGTCCATTTCTGAGTTTGAGTCCTATTCCAGAACTTGAGTTTTATGTGCATATCCATTTTACAGATTTGGCTTTTTTGTAAGCAGACTGTTAATTCCTCACCTCCCAGGCAGATGCACTCCAATTTTGAAAGAAAAACACCCCTACAATTAGTCCAGATTTATGATGTGCCTGTTTGGGGGCAGTCAGTCTATTCTTATTTCCCCACAAAATGAGACCACGAAACTCAGATAGAGAAGAGTATATATCATTTTCTTGTAAACATGAAAGAACAGCACACATAAAAATAAGTTACTGTAATGAAATGAGGTCCAACAGTGATCAGTTCTCCAGTACTGTTATTGTAGGCGGCCATGAAGATCCTGCCCACAGCTTTTGAGCGTGTTCCAGGTACAAAGTGTTTGCTCATCAGCTGTAACATTTAACTGATATTGAGAGCTTATTATAGCAATATATCCATAGATAAAATATACAAGTGTACACAGGCAAGTTTTGTGTTTATATTATCAATACTATGCTTAACCATTATAATTGTGATATAAAGTGGTTATTATTGTTTCAGATAATAAATGTTTATGTCTCTCAGACAAGTATAATTTTTAGTGTATACTTTTTACTTCATCAAAGTGTAGAGTTATAGTATACCTACAACAAAAATGTATGATTATTTAAACCTGTTATCTGTAAAATTACTGCTGAACCTCAGTTCTCACTTAATTGGTTCCTGAAAGCTGTTCAGAAACCAAATTGTAGAAAAGTGAAACCATATTCCCCATAAGAATTAATGAATAAATTGTACAATAACTCTCTTTGTGAACTGCAGATTATTACTTATTCAAATCTTCTTGAAAAATCAGGAACATTATTTCAGGCATTTGGTTCTTTTAACAGTTTCTGAATGATCTTCTTCTTCTTCAGCAACCCGAGCCCTTGAGGTTCATTGCTGTAGATGTCACCCGCTTCCATTCATCTCTCTGGTTGGCCTTCTCTTTCCAGTTAATGACACTAAATTTTTGCAGGTCTGTCTGGACATTATCTCTCTATATTCTTCTTGGTCTGCCTCGTGGTCTACGACCATTCATCTCCCTGGTGTATACAGTTTTTACTTCTCTGTCATCTGACATTCTTTCAATATGCCCCAACCATTTTAGTCTATTAGCTGTCATGTTGTCAGTGGTGATTTAAATAGATTATGAATTTCATTATTGCTTCTCACTCTCCATTCTCCGCTGTTTGCATCTTTGATGGGTCCAAAGATTTGTAGCAAGACTCTGTTTTTGAAAATCTGTTATAAGGCTTCATCTATTTTAGTTGTGCTCAAAGTTTAACAGCCATATAAAACAACAGAATATTATCAATGTTTTATATATTTTCATCTTGGTGCTGCGAGACAGACACTTTGACTTTAGCAGATGTTAAAGGGCATAGTGTTACTTTATTTCCAGATTGTATTTTAGATTGTATTTCTTCTCTCAGCATGTTGGAACACTTGAAGTTTGCACCCAAGTACTTGTATTTTTCTGTTAGTTTGATTTTCATATTATTGACTTGTATATGGCCAAGATTTATATCCTTTCCCTGTCTAGTTATTATCATGTATTCTGTCTTATCTGGATTGATAACTAGTCCTATTTTCTGAGCGGATTCTTTTAAGAGAGTCAGTGTTTTAACAGTCTCTAATTCATTTTCTCCAACAATGTCAATGTTATCTGCATATCCAAGTATTCTTGTAGATTCTCCTATAGTACACTCTTGTTTAAATTTCCTTATAATTTTCTCCAGGGCCAAGTTGAAAAGAAGTGGGGACAGAGCATCACCTTGCTTTAAACCAGATGTTATTTGAAAAGGGTTTGACTTTCTGCCTTTATATATTACTATAATACAACTGTCTTCCATACATAGTTTGGTCATGGTAATTAACTTTTTTGGTACTCCAAAGTCCTTCATAGCATTCCATAAACTGTTTCTATGTACACTATCATACGCTTTTTTTTAAATCTACAAAAACATTTTGTACATCTCTTCTAAATTTCCAATTCTGCTCTGCTATTTGCCGTAAAATGAATATCTGATCTATCATTAATTGGTTCTGTCGGAAACCTGCTTGGTAATCTCCCAATATGTCTTCGACGTGTGGTTTTAGCCTGTTTAGCAGTACCGTCAATAGTACAGTTTTTGAATGATACTTCCAACAAATATAGACAAATACGAGGTGAAACTGAATGTACTTACATAAAGATGCTCTTGCCCTTGCATATACCCCACAAACTGGTTGGTCTGGGAGGAGAAAACAACCCTGTTTATGTTTTCTGTGGCTTGGAATGAACTTTTCTTGTGTCCATCCTCATCAAAAAAGTGAAACGTCTGTCCCTCATTTGTTAGGTACTCCTGTGTCGTAGAAAACATATTTCAGTGAGTTTATAATTTTTTTACAGTGACATTTCATTTGAGGACAACTTTATTTTACTACAATGTAACGATTAACTGCAAATGGTACAAATCAAAATAATTTTTATAGAAGAAAATAAAAAAACTAAAGACTCACACTGAACCTCAAACTTCTATACCTTACCCCCGCCACCCCCCTACCCTCATCCACCTGCCTACCTGCACTCACCCAGGTGTACACACAAACACACACTCACAGTGAAAGAGCTTTCTTATTATGCTTAGATATAATCCAAATTACCATGTTTTGTTTCCTCTCCATTGGGTGTATCCTTCAAGAATGCATTGCACACACAATCACTAGACTCTAGGCTCCCTTCTTAAAAAAACCAGAAGAAGATTTTACGTCCTTAACTTTTTCAATCTTCTGTCTGTACTGCCAGTATTTACCACTCTGAAGGTGGTGTAGGACAGATGTCTTGAGGTTGAGAGTTTATACTGCAGGGCTTATAACTCTTTAGTAAGTAAGTAAAGATTCCTTTGTACGCCTTAAGGCGCATCGGGCATATGGCAGGAGCATCAATATCTTTACAGACTAATCAGCACTAAGTGGGTAATTTGGTCAGCACTACGCCGGCCATCTTTACTTCCTCAGGACATACATCCTGGTACCTACTTTAGGCAGGGTCGACCTGTGACACCCCTATAACTCTTTAGTACCAGCCTATAATTATATCAACTCTTTTATTCCTGAGAAGTCCTATCTAATTCGAATTTTAGTCCAGAAAAGTCATGGGCACAAGGAGTTAGGGTAACAATTCAGATTAATAAGTTCTTCTTCTTAGCATTCACTGTAAACTATGTTGGAAAATTATGGTTGTTCATCCACTTCTGGACTTTAGTCTTGTTCCAGAACATAACTGTCTGTGTACATCCATTTTATAGATGTGGCTTACATGCAGACTGTTGGTTCTTCAACTCTCAGGCAAATGCACTCCAACTTTGAAAGTAATACCCCTAATTAGTTGCTTTCTATGATATGCTTGTTTTCCCCAGAATAGAGGTGGACACGGTAATGGCAGCTCTCATGTGGCTAGAGAACAAGATGCATACACATGTCATATTTGTAACTGAGTCTGAAAGCATGCTGAGAAAGGTGAAGACAAGGATGCTTCGAGCAGAATAGCAAGCTTCACTGGGAAGGTCACAGGTCCCCAGTGTGGGTTCCAGGGCCCCATTGTGGGGAAAACAAGAATAGACCCACTGCCTCCCCAAAAGCATATTGTAAGAGTCGACTAATTGGGGCGCTTCCTTTGAAGTCGGAGTGCATCTGCCGGAGAGGCAAGGAACCAACAGTCTGTATTCAAGCGAATGAGATCTGTAAAACTGATGCACACGCAACACTCAGGTTCTGGAGCAGGACTGCAGTTCAGTAGTGGACGAGCAACCAGAACTTTCCGCCAGAGTGTACAGCTGGTAAACGTGAAGAAGAAGAAGAAGAAGGTCACAGGTAGTGAGCATACTTTGGATCTTTTATCTAGACGATGCCGGCGTAGTGGGTAATGAACAGGCAGACAGACTGGCTGGATTTGCACCACTGGTGGTGAAATATTACATGACAAGGCAGATGTGGTCAAGGCCCTTTGGGAACAAGAAACAGAATTAGTAGAGAAACAAGATTACTATGGTCTGGAGAGAATGAGGCACTTGGGTGTAACCAGAGGGCCTGGCCGGTTCACTACACTCAGAAGAAAGGCAAGACAGACAGACAAGCAAAATGTGACCGGAACCATAAGTACTGGAACTCTGCGCTAGCTGCTGAAGATGAGGACGGAGAGTGCTGTGATGTCAATTCTTGACTCAACTCAACAACTTAACTGTTTTTTCCAGATAGCAGAGCTAAAAAAGGCAGTACTTGGCATAACCATTTGTGTTCCTTAATTGTAACTTTATAAGAAGTTGAAAGAAGTATATAGGACATGTTTCGCTAGACCACTAGGCAGGGTGCAACTCTTTGAGTCACAGAGGTGGTCAAATCTTCAGGTAGCCCCCAGATGGGGGTGTGGGTGGGGGGGAGGGGGGCAGTCATTTTGTACTGAATCAGTACTTCATTGCCAGTTTTTATGGGGATGTGTCCCAAAAAATTTTTACAACACTAACTAACTGTAACATTAATTTACAACATACAGGAGACAAAACAATCTACCTTGTACTCTGGAATGAACAGCACTTGAGTGATCTGTTGTTGGTGGCTGAGGCTTCTTTCTCTGTATATGCCATGGGAAATCCCCAATTCTCTCATGTCTGCTTCTTCTACTGACTTCACAAAAATACAAATAAGTTTAAGAGCATTGACATCTACTTTACAACATCACAGCATAACAAGAAAAACAAGCATGCCCTAGTTCAGCTGCCTATCATTTGGTAACCTGTGACATTTGGTAAGAGAAAACAGATTCTGACAAAAGAAGAACAAGAAAATACAGGACATGCATTGATAAGTCATGAGATGGTAATAATATATTTGTTGGTGGCATTCACTTTACTACAACAGTAGTCAGAAATCTTGTTCTTTTGCATTGATCCAAAGATGTAATTGCTTTGTGCTCGTTTACAACATAGTTGCAATGTTTGCTCCTTTTGGTTGACACATCTGACCTCTGCAGGTATTTGTTGACTGGGTTAGCCTTCCCGGTCAGTTCTGATGGACACTGCAGTCTCATTGTTGTGTGGACATCTTTGTTTCCCAGGTCAAAGGTATGATCCACATCAGACCAGTTTAGAGAAACCACATAATGCTGGTCGGCTCTTAAGGAAAGGCAGGGGCATAACATGAACGCTCCCCACCGTCCAAAGAGGCTTCAATAAATGTAGAGCCAGTATAGTTCTCTGGTACTGGGCTCACCCAAGGGATTGTCACCACCTACTCATGACTGTTTAACCTCACTTCCGTATATAGAACATCTCATTCATCACGGGCTATGTCTTTAGAAGCCTGCAGACCTGGGATTTTCTTCTTCTTCTTTGCGTTCACCAGCTGTACATTCTGGCGTAAAGTTCTGGTTGTTCGTCCACTTCTGGACTGCAGTCCTGCTCCAGAACCTGGGTGTTGCATGTGCATCAGTTTTACAGATCTGATTCTATTGAATGCAGACTGCTGGTTCCTTGCCTCTCAGGCAGATACACTTCGACTTCAAAGGAAGCTCCCCAGTTAGTCGACTCTTACGACATGCTTTTGGGGAGGCAGTGGGTCTATTCTTGTTTTCCCCACAATAGGGCCCCGGAACCCACACGGGGGTACCTGGGATTTTGATTACCTACACAAAATGAGTACCTTGTGTCTTTTGCATGTTAGACTTTATTAGATTTTACTGCAGTGGACATCCACATTCACTGTAGTTTCATAAGATCCCACACAGATGCCTAGGGGCATCCAGTGTGTCAGTATACTGACAATGAGTCTGTTCCATTTTCTTCCCACGTCATGGTTTATGAACTCTGCATCTGTTTTGACTATCAGCTCTGAGAATCCCCCCGACAGTCTTCTGTTTCTTATACATTCAGCTGTAATGTGAATACATTTAGAGAAATCAGCAGTCAGCTGAGGTTGCTGACATCCTACAGAGTTTGTCATCAAAAGAAGCATGTGTCAAATAGAATAATCTTCCTCTGTTTTAAATATGTTGGACACTATTGCAGCAAGTGTTTAGCTGTAAATTTTACCTTTTCTACAGTTAAAATCATCAGCGTCTCCTATCTTTAGCTTATTTAACAAGTGGTGTTTCAGCCTATTATGTCCATGCGGAGTCTAAAGATCACTCTTCAGTCAAATTGGTAGTATGCATCATCCTTCTTGTGGCCTGGATATTCAGAATCCCATTCGGTAGTATACGTGCTTATTATAAACCTCTTGGCCTCATCATATGTTATGTCTGTATCAGGCTGGAGTTGTCTTCCAGCTTCCTTTATCAGTCTGTCACCCTCTTCATTTCCAGGTATGTTGCAATGGGATGGAATCCATTGTACTATGTAAAGTAAAGATCCTTTTTCATGCCTTTAGGCGCATCGAGTATATGGAAAGAACACCAATATTTTTATAGACCAATCAGCACTAGGTGGGTAATGTGGTCAGTATTATGCCGGCCGTCTTCACTTCCCCAGGACATACATCATGGTACCCATTTTAGGCTGGGTTGACTTGCTATGCCCCATACTATGATAACAATCCATGCAGCCAGCATGGGTTTCAATCACTGCAGGCTATGTTGGAATTACAAGTCAGACTCGCTACGCCTAAGCCACAGACGCCACCCATCGTACTTTGACTCTTTTTTTATTTCTGATTTCTTCTTGTGTTTGCTTTCTGATTTACACAGACAGACAAGTTCTTGTGATAAACTTGACTGTCTTAGGAGTCCCCTTTTAGTTCCTTACAACTCTGAGTACAGTATTGACTCAGTGGGCCAGTATTCCCTTCCTAATGGCTGTACAATGGACATTCTTGCACACACAGCCCACATGGGTACAAAGGTCAACTAGTTAGTCGAAGTTTGTGCATATGCTTGTTAAATGTATCATGTCCTGCCCTTGCTGATCAAGTAAGTGGTAGTTATCTCTGGCCATATTCTGATTGACTGGACAGCCTTTCCTTCACGAAGTATGTTCCTGCATTCTCTTCCTGTTCACATTCTGCCCCTTTCTTAACAAGTTTATTCACAGCTTTATTTCCTGGTATACCACAGTGGGTTTCTCTACCTGGCAGGGCTCCATGAGATTTGCACCATTCTGATATATTTTCATGTGTGACATCATGAAATTAAGGTGCGTCTCTTCATCTGGCTTCTCTCCTTCGACCTGTCCAACATGGGAGATCCTACCAGTACCTAAGCTACCACTGGAATAGCTCTTAAGGCCATTGGAACACACAAGCCCCTCTCCCTCAACAAGGTGGAGACACAACAGAGGGGAGTCAGAAATATAAAATAATGCTCCCACATTACACCTTTATATCAGATTCATTCATGTGGTCATTAATCGTTCTTGTTTTGTCTCATCCCCTTTCCCCTAGAAGACTAGGAAGTTAAACAACAGGAAAATAATTAGCACAATTATAATAGAACGTTTCGACCTGAGCTAAAAACAACTGGAAAAGAAAAGAGTCAACATAAAATAGCAGATACAGAAGGGGAAAAAAACATGTACAGAAGTAGTTATTACAAAAGCAAACAAACAAGAAATAATAGAAAAAAAGAGTGCAAAAAATAAATTTTTAAAAACACATACATGTAAAATAAAACTATATTGAACACTAATCCCTGCAGAACTAACATCAAAACTGTGAATGACGTAATTCTGCAAGGAGAGGTGGCTGGTTGGAAACCTAGAGCAAGAATGTATGGCAGTGAGACAGATGTCAGTTTTAGTGCTGTTTTATGGATACTTTTAAAACCTAAAATCCCATACTTTTTTTGTACAGACCACTTTTTGTTGTTTTGAAAGTGGTATGGAGCACTGACCATTTAGAGGTAATGGCAAACTAGTGAATGTAAAATTGCCAAGTAAAACCACATATTAGCAAAACAATGCTAAGGTTGATTCTGCAATGCCCTGTAAAATGACATCTTCCTAACAAGCGTGTCATAAAAGGCAATTAATTGAGAGTTATTGAAATCAGATGTGCTGGGCTGAAAGACGTAGATATCACAGCTAGCTGTAAATCACAACACAACATACCAACCACACCTTTAAGGATGTGCACAGAAAAAGCACTGCTGTGATTCCTACAATTATAAGAGCAATACTTCATTAAAGTAATGAAAAAGCAGGAAAAATCCATTCCTTTTGTTTCCAAACTCCAGAAAATCCTATCTTTTTCATACTCCTGAAATCCTACCATTTTCAAACTTTTAAAATCCTATCTTTGTCACACTCCTGAAATCCTACCTTTTTCACACTCTTGACAGAATCTCGTAGGAATGCCCAGTGGTACTGCGCTCTCTTCCGTACATCCATCAGTTTTCGCTGAAGGAAAATCTGGTGTTCTGTTGTGTCCATTTTATCAGGAGGTTTCATTATAGTTTATATTCACCAAAAGCTTTTTATTCTGCCACACAGAAACAAAAGGTTTCATATTATAAAACTGGCAGGTAACATTCTTCTCAACATTTATAAATGTATCAGAGATGTCATTTCTTAGGTACAAAATGAGTTTGTACTATGTAATAATTATGCAGCTCCATGTTTACAAAGTTAAACACTATAAAAGACAAATAAAATTCTAAAAAGCAGTAAGAGATAAACGTATTGAAGAAAAATTCTAAACACTGTAATTTTAATTAATTTTAACTTTAAAAAAAAATTGTTTTATATTTTTCAAAACAATGTGTCTCATTGTAGATTAAAAAAAAATTAATGTTAGCACAAACAATACATTACAAAATTTATTGCCTGGCATATTTGGCTGTCAGAAATGCTAACAATAACATGAAATATGACTAGAAAGCTCAACAGAGGGAATGGAAAAGATGCACACAAACACAACCAAACATTTCAACCAAAGTCTTTATCAACAGAATACTAAATACAGCACAAACTGTGATTAAAAAACTCAACAGGCAAGACTACAGGATGCACACAAACACAACCGAACGTTTCGACCAAAGTCTTTATCAACAGAGTATTAAATACAGCACTTACTGTGACTAGAAAACTCATCTGGCAGGACTACAGATCTAATTAAAAAAAGGTCGACCAATGTCGACACAAAACCAAGAAGTACATAATGAGGGGAAGAGGAGAGTTTTTTAGTTATATTTAGCATTTCTTGCAACGAGCTCGACTGTCACTAGTTTGCTGTATCTTATGAGGTGCATTATTTAAATATTATATATTAATTTCAAGTTGTGACAGCTTGTAGGCCGATAGTGACTATTTTGCTGGAGCATAGGATATTCATAAGTATTCCAGTCAAGGTGGATTTTATAATTAGCATGGCCTTCCATGTCACTAACCTAAAAATAGGAGCCAGAATATGTTATGGAAAGTAAAGGTAACCAGTCTTAGAATTACTACATCACACACTGAGTAGCGCCATATATCATTATGGACAAGAAACTTGCAATGAGGTCCTTTACTTACAGGGGTGTCAGAACCCGAGAGCTTTGCCCACCCCTTCCTCCTCCCACCTTCCACAAACAAATTTTTAATGTGCTAAGCTGCCCCACTAACCATGTATAAAAAGTTGTCTTGTCAAGTATGCATTAAATATTAGATCTTATTTCAAATATATTCTTAATTTATTTGCCATTCAGCATATTATTTTTATGATACTGTCATTATTAGTACACACTAACAGTCTTGAACCTCAATGAAAATATGTAGAGGGGTTGAATCACTCTTTCCCTAGTGTTTCTTTCTGTTATGCACTAATTTTTCTAGCCAAGAAGATGTCCTAATATATCTTCTTTCAGTATAAGAATACATAATTTTTACTTCTTCTATCCTTAGCATATGTTATTTAAAGAAACAAATATATATGTTTCTGAAATAGTTCAAATATGAGCATTATGGGGTTAAATAATTAAAAATGAGCATGCAAGGCGGCTACAATTACTCGCCCAGACTAGGACAAGAGTGATGTCATTAATGACATGCAAGATGCCTATCCTGATGAAGATCATGACAACAAGCAAGACTCTTTCCAGGTTGGTAGATGTGGGAGTGTAAGATGGGGCAGCCAGAAATGAACATTTCATTAAGATGTCTGATTAAAAAGCACAGAACAAGTGGTATCAGTAATTTGACTCTTGTGGAATTACTGAGGATAAGATCATAGAACCTATAGATTTGTCCACATTGTTGTGATGATAGCCCTGACTGATCACTAATCTACTGAACTGTCACTACTGCACTACTGTCTGTATGTACTACTTTTAAGGTCCTAGACAGGGGGTCGTGAGCCTGAGGATTTAGGGTGCCTGCATGGCTAGTGCTGTCACCATGGACTGTACAGGTTAGGATGTTTAATTTTTACCCTAGCAGAAAAATTACATCACCTTAAGGGGGATTTGAACCATGATTTTCTGCGTAAGAGCCCGACATTGTAACTGCTCGGCCAGTCATTCCTCACTAATTACAAGATAAAATAGCACTGTACTGTTAAGTGATTGCACAGAACATCTAGGAATCAAATGATTTGGTCATCTGGTCAGAAAGGAACAAAATCAGCCAGCAGATACATCACAATACCTGAGAACAGCAGGCTACAAGGCAAGAGGCTAACCAAAAAATAGATGGGTAGAGGCAGTAACAGACACACTACAGACGTATAATTTGACAATAATTCAAGTTCCACAATCAGCAAAATACAGGAGACTACATCTAAGTCCTCTCTGTGATGCTTTACAGAACATGCAGTAGTACAAAAGAAAAAGAAGAAGATGGGAAAAACTAAAATAGAGAAAACATGGAGAGAAAGAAAGAATGCAAAAATTGAATGAGAAATAGTTACAGAAAAGAAGATAATATCAGGAGTAACCAATAAACACATTACAAGTTGCATAGTACAGAATAATTTAATTTCTTGGTACTAAATAAGCTAACTTTGAATGGTTATGTTGTTAGTTTGTGAATACTTTCAGTGTATTAAAAGTAGCAGTAGTAATTTAAGCAAGGGTATTCTGTTCAACCCATCCAAGTTATAATTGGAATACAGAGTCTATCCATTTCAATATTGGATATATATGCTTGTCAGGTACTTTGGTCATTTAATATTGCATAGATTATGCATTAATCATAACAGATTGTGGGAGTATAGACTGTTATGTTGAATATTTTTGAAGCACACATTTTAAATAATTGTCATAATTATGCTGTGTAATCTGTCTATGGGAATATTTAAAGTGATCTCAGACATTTTTATTCTGTCTTAAGATAAATTTGCAAACTGGTTTTTTTGTTTTGTTTGTTGACCTTCCCCTGTAGAATCTGGCAGAAAGTTCTGGTTGTTCATCCATTTCTGGACTTGAGTCTTCATCCAGAACCTGAGTGTTGACTTACTGGTACACAGAGTACTGGTTCATTGGCTCTAAGAGATGCACTTTCACTTTGAAGGAAACTGTTAATTAGTCAACACATTGGACAGGTTTGTTAGGCAGGCAGTGGGTCTATTCTTGTTTCGCTCACAATGGAGCACCTGCACCCAAATTGTGAGCAAATTGCACTGCAGCCAGGAGACTGAACTCCGACTAAGCGGCCGTCGCCGTCCAACTAGCGACTATTATTGCAAGGAGAGTTAAAATTTGTATTAGTCAAGTCTATAAAAAATGTGTATTGGTTATTATGTAGATAAATCCATTATTTTATAGCAGTAATGGATATGTAAAGTTTTTAGATTATAGTTAAATTAGCAATAATACCATCTCTGTAATATTACACAAAAAACTGATTCTGTAAAGTATCTAATTCTGCAAACTTACAATATTTTTTTCTGATTGCTTTCATTATAATTATAGTTTAAACACCACACATAATACTCTACTAATCTACTAATAGCTATTTTAATCATTCAAGTGACCCACTTAGAAACGAAAGTAGAGATCGCTTAGTTACAAGATGGCGTCGGTGGTCCACGAATAATGGCTCCTTTGCCTATCAGTTACTTTGAAATCCTGTCGCTCAATACTGGCTGTTCAGAATCGAATATGTGGGCTCAAAGTTATTCATAAAAGGTCGCTCAACCAATCGACACCTAACTTACATAGCGATCTTTGTTCAGCCAAATAAATTTCACTATTTGCCATGCGGGAAGTAAATTTCTTTAATATCTCCTTTTTAAAGTGAATATATATACTAGGAATCGTCATTTTTGGATTCTGCGTCCATTTTTACATAAATATGGGCAGTTTTGCTGGAATCTGTACATCACAAAATTTAAACTTTCAATTTCTTCCCGGTTACTTCTTTAAAGCTGAATCGGCGATTTTTCAAAATGGCTACCGCATGGCCTAAACAAACTGTTTATCTCAGATTAATTAATCTAGTTATTTATAAAAACAGTTCAAAAATAATGCAAGTTTTATTTGTATTAATAATTTACCTTTCTTTAACTTTAATTTCACATGAGTTTTAATAATTTTAAATACCTGAAAATAATGTTTTAGCACGTTTTTAAACATAGACTATTTCAAGGGTATTTTGCGTTAAAAATAGACACAGACAGTGGTTTAAATATTTTATAATAATAGTTTCAAATAAATATATAGTAGTTATTTAATCATTTTTTGAATCTTTAGCCATTATAGCATTTTTTAAGCCATAACCTATCATTGGGCATGAACAACATTTTTTGTTTGAAGCCTTTTTACCTGTTGACCCCCACTCCCCGCACCCAGACTGACATTTTGGACGCAGACAGTGGTTTAAACATTTTATAATATACTTTTAAATGAATATATAGTAGTTATTTAATCATTTTTTGAATCTTTAGCCATTATAGCATTTTTTAAGCCATAACTTATCATTAGGCATGAATAACATTTCCTGTTTGAAGCCTTTTTACCTGTTGACCCCCACTCCCCGCACCCAGACTGACATTTTTAAAAAATGTCTGCCACACATTTCTGCACTATGATTTTGTGGTGCATATTTATTGTCTTAAATAGTATAAATAACAGTTATTATTTATGACTGATACTGTTTTAAAATTGACTTATAGATGATGATTTAGAAAGTTGATTAATAAAATTAATAATAATATATTATTTTCAACTGAATAAATTCACTTACTTACAACTTATGATTAATAATATTTAATCACAGATCACGTAGGACATAGATAAGTTAATAAAATATAATGTAATTTTTCCTCTTACCTTATGAAATGCTGCTCCATGAAAACACAACATAAATCCGAAGCGAATTACATCTCCATGAAAACACAACATAAATCCAAAGCGAATTACAAAGGAGCTTATTTAATAATTTTACTCCATGAAAAACATAGCACTGAGTCACAAATCGGGCATGAGCGGTTACCTTCGATTATTTTGAACAAGTAAATAAAATATCAAGCA